TCTCGGTTGCTGTACTGTAGGGGGGCTGCCATAACGCGTCGGGGTCTCGGTTGCTGTACTGTAGGGGGGCTGCCATAACGCGTCGGGGTCTCGGTTGCTGTACTGTAGGGGGGCTGCCATAACGCGTCGGGGTCTCGGTTGCTGTACTGTAGGGGGGCTGCCATAACGCGTCGGGGTCTCGGTTGCTGTACTGTAGGGGGGCTGCCATAACGCGTCGGGGTCTCGGTTGCTGTACTGTAGGGGGGCTGCCATAACGCGTCGGGGTCTCGGTTGCTGTACTGTAGGGGGGCTGCCATAACGCGTCGGGGTCTCGGTTGCTGTACTGTAGGGGGGCTGCCATAACGCGTCGGGGTCTCGGTTGCTGTACTGTAGGGGGGCTGCCATAACGCGTCGGGGTCTCGGTTGCTGTACTGTAGGGGGGCTGCCATAACGCGTCGGGGTCTCGGTTGCTGTACTGTAGGGGGGCTGCCATAACGCGTCGGGGTCTCGGTTGCTGTACTGTAGGGGGGCTGCCATAACGCGTCGGGGTCTCGGTTGCTGTACTGTAGGGGGGCTGCCATAACGCGTCGGGGTCTCGGTTGCTGTACTGTAGGGGGGCTGCCATAACGCGTCGGGGTCTCGGTTGCTGTACTGTAGGGGGGCTGCCATAGCGCGTCGGGGTCTCGGTTGCTGTACTGTAGGGGGGCTGCCATAGCGCGTCGGGGTCTCGGTTGCTGTACTGTAGGGGGGCTGCCATAATGCGTTGGGGTCTCGGTTGCTGTACTGTAGGGGGGCTGCCATAACGCGTCGGGGTAGGACTTTTAAATTTACCTTTTTGCTTGAACTGGACCCGGCATGTTTTCTTTGCTGCTAGATCTTTAATACTTGGGCTCAATTTCTGAGCTGCTGAGCTGCTGAGCTGACGTTAAGTGTGTGTTGTATATAATGTGTGTGGGTCATTCTACAGAAACATCCATTTTTGTGTCCCTGGCGTTTACAGATATATTACACTTGAAAAACATGTTAGGGTTACAATTTATTTATATTTTAAAATAAAACAATAAGTTATTTTAACAGTTACACCTTCTTGAGCCTCAATTTAGCAATATTATTTTTTTAAATCAGTTGTACAGAATTCCAAGCACCACAGAAGAGCTCGTCCTCACATTCATGTGTGAAGGTTGAGGCCATATTTTGAAGAAAAACACATTTTTCTGCAATTTTAACTACAATAATCTATACATGACTATGGAATATATTAATTAAATGACATAAAGAGAACAAATGCCAAATAAATATTATAAAATATATAAAGAAAGTTATTGTCCCCAGGAGTCGTGTCACTGGTGTCACTGCATTAAAAAAAATCTCTTATTTTGAAATAAAAGTCACACTGATGACATCACTCGACTTCCTTTTACCTGTTTTTTCTGAGGATCTATGAAGAAAAGCTCATGGTGAGTCCACTGTGTCTTTCAGTTATCAGAGATTTTCTCATTTAGCTCATGATTTCATATGAAGCTTTTAGCTGAAGTCACTGGTGTGACCGACTTTATTCTCAGGTAACTGTGGAAAAAATAGAATACAAATGGATTAAATTCCATATTTTAGTGGATTTTCCATGATTGACAACATGTGGTTTGATGTTCTGTAGCAGTTATTCTGTAAAATGCATTGTTCATTAAAATGTCTCTGGTGTTCCTTTATTATGTGTAACAACAATGAGGATCAGTAACACCAGTGACTCCTATGGAGAGATAGAACAGTGGACGTTTCTGTAGAATGACCCATATATGTAATGTATGTAATATAGTATATTGGCTGAACTGCAGCTGAAATGCAGCTGGTGTGTTTGGTGATATGACTGGTGTGGAATTGTGTAGAACTGAGGTGTAACCGCTGTCCCATAGACTGTTGTTGGAGTAGGACAGTTGGAGTGCACATTGCATTGCAGTGCATGCTGGGGACTGTAGTGCAGTGCAGTGTGAAACGAGCTAACGTTAACAGAACATTAAAATCTGATCTGACTCAGTCATCAGGCAGTGAATTCATAACCATTTCATGTAGGAACTTTCTGTGAGGGAGCTTTTAGAGGTGGACGTCTGGTTCCTATCACCACCACTGTGAACAGTTCTGACTCGGTAAGTTTCTCTAGAACAGAGTTTCGCCCAAATTAGGTCATTATTCTCTGTGAGCCTCCTAGTTAATTAATTAGATATGACTAGACATGAAGTCATGAAAATACTGCCAGAATGTAATTTTAGCTTGAGATGACATCTTTCAGTATCCGCCTCCGCAGCATCATCATATCCTCTGTCTGCTGAATCTATGAAGAAGGGCGCTTATTTCCTGTCTGTTCATTACTCTGTGGGCCGTAAGTATTTAAACCCAGGAGGATGTGCCTGTTTAGGCCAACTGCATGTTCGGCCTTGTTCAGACCGTCAGCCCAAATCCGATTTCTGTCAAATTCTGTTGATTTTTGATAGTCTGGACATTGGGAGATGGTTTGACTCCAGTCAGATTATCAAAGTGTCTTTTTTGTCACTCGAAACACAACAAACAGCGATGAGTCAAATCCAGAGTGATGAAGTGCTGGGATTGAAGAAGAGCTCCAAAGATTCATGATGATGAAGAGAGTTCTGAGGAGTTTGGAGGGAGAGATGATGCTCCTCCATCTCTCCTGCATCTCCGTTTCAAATCCGAGTCACGAGCTTAGCTACGTAGTTCCTGACACCTACGTCATTACCACGGCAACCCATGCAGATAGACTGGTGATGTTTGGACACACAGATCTGATCTGATCATGTGCAGATAATAAAGTGGACACTCAACTCAAAAGATCGGATTTGAGAAATAAATCCAATTTACCTGCACACAGAGGATGGATGCCAGACCGTGTCATACACTGAATTCTGTCACCAGCAGCCCAGATTTAATGTTTTTAAAAATTTTTATTTATTTGTTTTTTTACTCAAATACTGTCAAATACTGTATACCCTCGTCAAACATCAGTTGAGTCTGACAAAATAGATTCCGCCCAAACCCAACAGTGATCAGTGTAGCCTGTCAATTTTGCTTGATTTTAAGGCAACATAATAAATACTAATAAACATCCAAACATTTTCTAGCTCACCTAAAGAGTCACCTAATGTTGTTGGGCAGCTACCAAGTGCTGGATGAGATGCTGAAGAAATGAAAGTTGTGAAGAGATCTGGCTCAGTTTGATGAATTTAGGTGCATTTGTTTAGCCTCCAATTGGCCCTTTTCACATTTCTGTTTTTTCTGCTGGAAGTTCTCGTTGCAGAGCAACGCTGCTTCCGTTAGACAGTAACCACAATGACGAGTACAGCCTGTACAGCTCACTCAAGTGTTTGAGTTTTCAGCCAAAACAACCTCATCTCAGTTTCAGTGGTTTGTCAGCTGATGATGAGCAGAGGAGAAACGGGTTTGTGATGTTAATAAGTGAAAAAACTTTATCATACACTGTTAGAAATGAAGGTTCTGTTCAGGTACGTTTCTCGTTCATCAAGGTCCAAACAGTGTAAATGTTCCTCAAAGCTCCAACAGTGGTTTTAAGGTCTGATTGTGAACCTTAAATCAGTTTCTCCAGGTGAAAAGTTCGTATTTGTCCCTTTTCATAACCGAATGTTTTAAACAGAACAGTAAAATAAAAGCCTGGAGGCGAGACGGGGTGTGTGGAGTCAGTACAGCTTAGAACATATCATTTCAGTGGATTATGGTTCAGTTATGTTCCCTGACTAAAGGTACTGAGATGGAGCCTTGAGGGTTCCACCCCAGTGACGAGAGGGGTACTGACCCAGAGACAGTTTAGTACCTTTATTTCTGAGAGTGTACGGAATAAAAGAACCTCTGTGTCTGTATTTCAGCGCTGCTGACTAACATTAACATGCAGTTTGTGCTGTAAAGTTGCTGCTTCAGCCGCTTTCAGAGGAACAGTTTTCATTTTCTCCCTCTAAAGCTGTCGGTATCTGAGAGAGCGAGAGCTCAGCAGGGAGCAGGTGTTGGTTGGGTGTTTGTGTAAAACGTCTACAGTGGCACTGCAGACCATAACGACGCAGCGCCCCCTGCTGGTGTGTGCGTGTGTTTAGCGTTTACCCAACTAGTTTATTGTTCGTGAGCTACTTCAACATCTCCAGCTGACATGGCCAATCTGGTGTTTTGCTTATAGTTATTTTCACCTCCATTAATTTGTCTCTCTGCAGTCGTTAGCTGATGTTACTGTGCTCTGATAGCTTTGAAGGAATTTCTCCACAAAGCATTTATGTCCTTTATTTGGCTTGGACTCCTGCATGGTTGTGTGTTTGGTTCTCCAACAGTTCTGGACTCATCCTCGAATTTCAATCTCAGCAACTGTGATAGATAAAGGGGCTCACCTTTCTGTGGGGCTGAAGTGATATGAGCACCTGTATTTCTGAGGTTAATAACTCTGTAAGGCAATAGAGGAACTAGTTTTACCCAGAGTTTACACACTTCTGTTTCTTGTGAAAAGGGCCTGTTAACGGCATAATTTGTTTGCCTTCAGAGCTTCCTTAAAAAAGAGACCTCTGAGTGGCACTTACTCATTTTCTGTTCCCTGGCTTCATTAAGGCACAAGTTTATTCGTGCAGTATTTTCGGACGACAGTAAATCAGTGCGATCACGTGTATAAGTGATAATATCCTGCACACCAAATTCGATTTCTCTGATGGTGAAAATGCGACATTATTCACGCTCTGTTAGATGTTTGTGAACTTCGTTTCATTTGCCTTCTGCTTTCTCTCAGATGGTGTTAGCATCTCTGAATTCGCTTCAAACAGAGCTCAAACTGAGCTACAGACATCCAGGCTGAGGTGGTGAAGCTCTCAGTGCTCCTCTCACTTTTCCAGAAAGTAATGAAGCCCAATCAGCATCTCTCTGTATGTATAAACGTCCCTCGGACAGAGGGTCCGGCTCGATGTTTAGGGTTTAAATGATCTCCAAATCCCCCAAACTTACAGTCCAGCTTCAATTAGAAGTACTTTAGCCTGAGCGTTTCGTTCTGCTCTACACAGTAGGGGATATATTGCCCACCACTAGCTGACATCAGTCCAGTGAGCGAGCTGTCCTCACGTTCACCAGTGTGGAGGTCCGAAAAGGGGGACGAGGAGACCGTAGCCCACGTCCTGTGAGTGAGCGAGGCTTTGGCGAGAGGAACAAAGGGCCTTTGAGGCCGGCCTGCTGTGAAATCCATGCCGGCCTTTATGCAGGGCTGTGAATGAATGTTGATGAGGTGAGTGTCCGACAGAGGGTCCATTCAGAGGGGCAGTCGGTGCTGCGAGGGCGTCAGGGAGCTTTGCTTTAGAGATAAAAGCATCAATCACAGTGTGCCACTCCCGTTATATGTAGGATACCATGAGGAGCTTCTCCTGGACGAGTTTTGGATGAACTAACCGTACAGAAATGGTGAGATCCTCTGGTTTTGGCCGTGGTGTAGATGTGTGAGTAGGTGGTGGAGTTACTTCTGCTTTGTTTGGACTGTGTAGCCCTTTTTTCCAGCTGACTGTTCCTATCAGTCTCCCTCATAGGAGAATAGAGCTGTTCTCACTTACAGTACCTTAGAAACGTATGGAGTCACTTGATATAATGAGTTTTGCTTATTTTATACAGTAATAACTACAGAGTGTAGGTTTAAAGATGCCAGAATATATGTTAGATGTTTGATTCAATATTTAAAGAAGTTATTAAATGATAAGTAGTAAGGCTGGGCAATATTATTGTTATTGTGATAAATTATATCACAGCATTTTTTGAGCGTTCACTGTTAGAAATAAAGGTTCTGTGCATTTTTCGTTCATCAAGGTACAAACAGTGTAAATGTTCCCTCAAAGCTCCAACAGTGGTTCTAAGGTCTGATTGTGAACCTTAAATAAGTGTCTCCAGGTGAAAAGTTCGTATTTGTACCTTTTCATAACCGAATGTTTTAAACAGAACAGTAAAATAAAAGCCTGGAGACGAGACGGGGTGTGTGGAGTCAGTACAGCTTAGAACATATCATTTCAGTGGATTATGGTTCAGTTATGTTCCCTGACTAAAGGTACTGAGATGGAGCCTTGAGGGTTCCACCCCAGTGACGAGAGGGGAACTGACCCAGAGACAGTTTAGGACCTTTATTTCTGAGAGTGTGCTGTGGATATCGTCAGCACTTCACTGACTGCATGTTTCATTACAAATTAGTTCTGTTTAATTATATTTAGTGCAGTTTGTAAAGCACTGAATAAAAAATCACTGCAGGAAATAAGTAATTAATTAATGCGTAAGTTGGTAAATAATAATAATTATTGTATTTTTTTGTATGTTATTTGTTCCAACTTAATAAATTGTAGAAAAGCTAAATATCGTAAAGCATAACATGCATCGTGAAAATGTCCAAGTATCATGATATAATATTTTTGCTGTATTGCCCACCCTGATAAATAGTAGACTGTAATTATCTGTTTATAATTTTATACCTTGAGATTTCATCACTTGTGAAATATGAGACATTCCAGAATTGTATTATATGATATATACTATATACTGTAAAGCTTTCTCAGTCATTTTAGAACCCTCTGCTGCTCTGATCATTCTGGACACATCTAACGTCCTGACTGCCCACAAATTAGCTGGAACTTTTAAGGTGGAACAGTAGTGGCATTATATCAGAATCATGATGTGCATGTACCTCACAAACTACACACTTAAAATGGTTCTTCAAGGGTTCTTTAGTAAAGAAAATGGTTCTATATAGTACCATGAATGCCCTTTGCATGATTAAAGGGTTCTTTAAATCACAAAAGGGTTCTTCAGATTGATGGAGGATGTACTGTAGATGGTTCTGTATAGCGCCAAAAAGGGTTCTTCTGTTGTGACAAGTCTGACATTTTAGCAATAGAAGAACCCTTTTTGGTGCTATAGAGTAGAGAACATTTTTCAAAAGGTTCTATATTGAACAACTGAGGTGTATTCAGAGAGATTCAGAGCGGTTTGGTGTGAAATGGTTCAGATGTCTTTACAGTGGTGGTGATAGGAACCAGGGGTCGCCATGACTACAACACAAATGTAGACATTTTATTTACTATCCAGAACCACCAGTGAACCTACACGAGTCTTCTGGGCGAAACAGTGGAAAATCATAACCATTTCATGTAGGAACTTTCTGTGAGGGAGCTTTTAGAGGTGGACGTCTGGTTCCTATCACCACCACTGTGGTTTCACACCAAACCACTATGAACCGCTCTGATTACATCTGAACCAGTTCATCAGGCAGGAGTTTTTAGAACTTCTCCTTTACCTGGTGCTCCATCCCTCTGCAGGTATGAGTGACCATGGCTCCGGGGGACATGGTGCCGGAGCACGGGAAGCAGCACGCCGCGCCTAGGAACAAGTGTGCGTCGCGGCCGTCGGAGGGGGAGTGCGAGGCGGACGGCTCGTTCGTGTTCGAGGCTCAGGAGGCCTGGAAGGACTTTCACAACTCGCTCAGACAGTTCTACGAGAACGGAGAGCTCTGCGACGTCACACTCAAGGTAACCGTGGAGACGGGACGGTTCTGTCCAGCTCTGCCTGAGAACCTGCTCATCAATACGAACTGCAGAGCGATCCGGTGTTTATTTATTCGTGTACTCACGTGTTTTTGTCTTCAGGCCTGGTTTCAGCTCTCAGTGCTCTGCAGGGGAGTTAATAACCTCACTGCACAGTTAAACAGCAGCAAATCTGTATCTTAAATCTTTAAATGCTCTCTCTCTCTCTCTTTCTCCCTCCTCCTCTCTCGCTCTATCTCTCTTTCTATCTCTCTGTCTCGCCCTGTCTCTCTCATCGCACTTTCACTCTGTATCTTTCTCCCCTTTTCTTTGTTTGTTTCTTTCTTTTTGTTTCTTTCTTTCTTTCTCTCACACTTTCTTTCTTTCACTTTCTTTTTCCCCCTTTCTCTCCCTTTCTCTCTCTCTCTCTTTCTCTCTCTCTCTGCAGGTGGGAAATAAACTGATTCCCTGCCACAAGCTGGTGCTGGCCTGCGTCATCCCGTACTTCCGTGCCATGTTCCTCTCGGACATGGCCGAGGCCAAACAGGACCTGATTGAGATCCGCGACTTCGACGGCGATGCCATTCAGGACCTGGTGCGCTTCGCGTACTCCTCGCGGCTGACGCTGACGGTGGACAACGTGCAGCCGCTGCTGTACGCCGCCTGCATCCTGCAGGTGGAGCTCGTGGCCCGCGCCTGCTGTGAGTACATGAAGGCCCACTTCCACCCGTCCAACTGCCTGGCCGTGCGCACCTTCGCAGAGAGCCACAACAGGGTGGACCTGATGGACATGGCCGACCGCTACGCCTGCGAGCACTTCCGCGAGGTGGTGGACTGCGAGGACTTCCCCTGCGTGTCTCCGCAGCACCTGAAGACGCTGCTCAGCTCCAGCGACCTGAACATACACTCTGAGACGCAGGTGTACAACGCTGCCGTCAAGTGGCTGAAGGCCAACCCCCAGCACCACGAGGTCTGGCTCGACCAGATCATGTCTCAGGTTAGACCTGGTCAACAGCGCCACTTAGAGCCACACGGTGCCCCATATTCTGCACACGCTCCACACACTGCACCACACACTGCACACGCTGCACATGCTCCACACGCTGCACACACTGCACACGCACCACACACTGCACACTGCACGCACTGCACACACTGCTCCACACGCTCCACACTGCACACGCTCCACATGCTCCACACTGCACACACTGCACACGCTCCACATGCTAGACACTGCACACGCTCCACATGCTCCACACTGCACACCCTGCACACGCTCCACACACTGCACAGGCTCCACACACTGCACACACGCCACGCACTCCACACGCTCCACACGCCCCACACGCCATGCACTCCACACGCCACGCACTCCACACGCCACGCACTCCACACGCCACACGCTCCAAACGCCACGCAGTCCACACGCTCCACACGCCCCACACGCCATGCACTCCACACACCACGCACTCCACACGCTCCACACGCCGCGCAGTCCACATGCTCAACACGCCACGCAGTCCACATGCTCCACACGCCACACGCCACGCACTCCACACGCTCCACACGCCACGCAGTCCACATGCTCCACACGCCACGCAGTCAACACGCTCCACACGCCACACGCTCCACACGCCATGCGGTCCACACGCTCCACACGCCCCACACGCCATGCACTCCACACGCTCCACACGCTCCACACGCTCCACACACTCGCTGAAATAGTAAAGAAGCAGCAGGTAAACATGTTTAGGTGAGGATCATGGATGTTAAGATGTGATCAGTCTGGTAGTCTTTAGAGGTTTAGGGTCACACTCGAGTTTTTTTCTGGACTGGTCCGTTTGCTCTGTGAGTTCGGTACATTTGGTCGAGTGTGAAAGCTGTGTTTGAGCCTGGGAGCTTCCAGTGGACACGTGCAGGTGGGTCCACTGCACGTGTGGAAGCAAGCTATCTGGTCCCAGCGCCGCATGTGGGCCTGTGTGATTGGTCCATTATTAGATGGTAACTGTAAATGCTGGAGTTTCTTGAGGATTGTTTATTGTATTTATTGTAAACTTTTTGGTTTCTAAGACAGAACTGTCTGCACATAAACAGATGCCTGGTGTTGACTGTGTTCCGGTGGATGAGCAGCGCGACACCTTCAGAAGTTGGTAAACCTAAATACACGCTAAGTGCTTGTGTTTCTGTGTGCTGTCTCTCAGGTGCGTCTCCCCCTGCTCCCCGTGGACTTCCTCACCGGCACCGTGGCCAAGGAGGAGATGATCAAAGCCAATCTGAACTGCAGAGACCTGCTGGACGAGGCCAGGAACTACCACCTACACCTCAGCAACAAGAGCGTGCCTGACTTTGAGTACTCGGTCCGCACCACGCCACGCAAACACACCGCAGGTTCGATTCCTCAGCTTCGCTTTGGGGCTACAAGACTGAGAAGTAATAAAAGCTCACACCTCGCCAGGAAGACGCACACCGGATGCCCAAATCACGTCAGGCTGTTTGGTATCTCTAATAGATTTATGTGGTTTCTGATACTGTACAGGGTCCAGCGTAACATTCCCCACCTCCCGGCCAGTAGATCTGAGTTTTACTGGTCCCTTGTATATTTTTACTTGGCTGAAAAAAAAGAACAAAAACAAAAACTCTTTTTCATAACTGTTACTTTATTAATCCCACATACGCAATAATGTGTAATGTAATGATGCACCCAAACAGCAAAGAACTGATTCATTTTCTCTTAGAACGCTTTTAAGAATTTAGTATTATATTAAATTAATATTAGCTTAGCAAAGCTGGCGAACAGTGAGGGAGGCAAGGCTAGCTTACAGCTGAACCCAGAATGGAGCTCTTAATTAAAATAAAACGAGCGAAAGCAAACTAACGTTACTGGCTGAAGCTAAATCTTAAGCTGAACTACAAGAGCTCTGTCACATTATGTCACTTCAGGTTTGCGGATGCTGCAAAGGACGCACTCCGCCTAGAAACAGTCCTTTAAATGAGCCGCAGCAACTGGACAGTCAACTTGCCTGACACGCTTTTTTTTTTACTGGCCCCAGTCCGTCGGGCCACTGCTCGTGTCGAACCCTGCTCTACGACTCACTTTTACCTATAAACATGGACAAAAGTATGAACAAAAATTCTTCAAGACGGCTGCTATGGCTGTTTTAGTTGCGCACTTATACATGGTCCTGTTGACCTCTGATCTTCTGCAGGTGTGCTGTTCTGCGTCGGGGGCCGTGGCGGTTCTGGAGATCCATTCCGCAGTATTGAGTGCTACTCCATCAGTAAGAACAGCTGGTTCTTCGGCCCGGAGATGAACAGCAGACGTAGACACGTGGGAGTCATCTCAGTAGGAGGTGAGAGAGAGAGAGCATGCTGGAGGGTTTAATAAACAAACAAATGTGAGTAAATATATAATCACATTGATTTTACTTGAAGGGGAACTCCACCAATTTCTCAAAATTTCTGCATGATTGGGGGTTTAAGATGTAAACAGTGTCGTTCAGAGAGGTTTGATGTGAAATGGTTCACCGTATCTCGGCGAAGATATGGATAACTGACTTCTGTAACGTCGGGTTGTGCTTTGGACCCCCCGAGTAGATGAATCTTGACTTTTGCGAGTGTTGAAGGAAAATTCAAAGAGAACTCAGTCTAAACTCGGTGAAGGAGCGTCTCTGAGGATGAGAGTGAATTATCTACTATAGTCGTCACATCTTCATCAGTGTGATGTTGATTCTGAGACCATCTGAGGCCGAAACATCGAGCCGGACCTTCTTTTAGAGTCTGTGTGTGATGTTAATATGTAAAGACGTACGACGTGGTGTGAAAAACTCGACACCTCTGACTTTTAAATGATTAATTCGTGCTCACAGCAGCTCACACTCCCCATATATAGGTAAGGTGAGGATCTACCGCGCTTCTGCAGTGGACCAGCTGAAGTGTGAATCACGCTTTTGCCTATGTGACTGAGTGCGACTCTTGTGTTTCCACAGGGAAGGTGTACGCAGTGGGTGGCCATGATGGCAGTGAACACCTGGGCAACATGGAGATGTTTGACCCCCTCACCAACAAGTGGATGATGAAAGCCTCCATGAACACCAAACGGTAGCAGTGACGGATCTCTTCTTGGAGATTTTTCGAGCATGTTGGGTTTCCCTAATCCAGGGGTCACAACCCAAATGTTAAGAAGAGCCATTTTGTCCTTTTAACAAAAATCAAACCACTTTGGGAGCCACAACATTTTATGTCCATTTTACCATCTTGGCTGTAAATATGTCTCAGTATGTGCTGATGTACTAATATAGGCTAAAAATATATATATTATAAACGAAAACGCAGACTTACTTTACTCTGCTTTAAGCTTTAGCTCAGCTATAGGTGCTTTTCTCACATCTCTGGCAGGAAACTTTTCCTCAAAAGTAGAACAGTTTCTTAAAAATGTCTCTCAACATTCAATTTTTTACAAGGCTGAAGTTGATTCTCATTCGCCAGCTTCTTGTTTGAATTTTTCCGTTCCACCTTTAGTGGTGCCACAATGTAACTGCAGCAACATTTAAGGTGGAACGGGAAAATTCAAACACTAAGCGGGTGAACACTTTTTAGTGTCTCGTTGCAGATTAAACGTATCAGGAAACCAGCTGGAGTGATTATAAACGCAAATAAGTCCATTCATCTCCAAATTATCGATGTTTGCCTAGCTAGGCAAGATACACCACACAGTCACATCATTGTACCATCTTAAAATAACCTAAGATGTTTTGTTTATTTCAAATTTTATTCTTTACAGTGGTTGTAATTTTACCTATATAAAGTTTGTTCAACGCTGTTGTTTTATTGGCTTCCTACTGAAATATTTGAATGAATTATTATATGTAAATGATATATAAATTATTTGTAAACGAGGTTCTTGAGTCAGGCAGTCAAATCTGAATGATTATGGGCTGCTGTGTGTAATGTGGTGCATATGTATGAATTTATACATAAACATTTATGTGATTGTTTTGTGTCTGTGTGCAGGAGGGGGATCGCGCTGGCCGCTTTAGGGGGTCCTATCTACGCTATCGGGGGTCTGGATGATAACTCATGTTTCAGCGATGTGGAGCGATATGATATAGAGTCAGACCGCTGGAGCGCCGTGGCCTCCATGAACACTCCCAGAGGGGGAGTCGGCTCTGTGGCTCTGGGGGTAAGAACAAAGGATCATGGTAGTCAGAGGTCTGGAGTCCGCATGACTTCAGACAAACAAAATAAAAAAAAACCCGCGACTTGAGTTTGACTTTAAAGGGGAGGGCGACCATATTTTCAAAATTCCCTCTCCATAATTCAGTGTGTGAGATGTAAACAGAGAGACTCAGAGTGGTTTGGTGTGAAGTGGTTCAGATGTCTTTACAGTGGTGGTGATAGGAACCAGGGGTCGCCATGACTACAACACAAATATAGACATTTTATTTACTATCCAGAACCACCAGTGAACCTACACAAGTCTTCTGAGTTTATATGAATGTTGATGATGGAAAATAGTGGAGAATCTGAAATAATAAGTTTTCTTTGGGGACTATTTTGCCTCACAGCGCCCTGCATGTATCCCTCCACCATGAATGGAGTTTAAGTTCTCTAAACTATCATAAAACAGTGTCTCAGTCATCAGGCAGTGAATTCATAACCATTTCATGTAGGAACTTTCTGTGAGGGAGCTTTTAGAGGTGGACGTCTGGTTCCTATCACCACCACTGTGAACAGTTCTGACTGACGACTTTGTGTCTCTTTAAACTGTTGACCAGAAGGCCCAGTGTTGTTTAAATGATCATGAAGCTGTTTTAAAGAAGGAAGTGACCTGAGCGCTTGTGCTGTTTTCTCTGTGTGCTCTCAGAGCTACGTCTACGCTGTGGGAGGAAACGATGGCGTAGCGTCTCTCTCCAGCGTGGAGCGCTTCGACCCGCACCTCAACAAATGGACTGACGTTCGAGAGATGGGACAGAGACGCGCCGGAAATGGGGTCAGTGAGCTCAACGGCTGCCTCTACGTCGTGGGTAAGTACTGAGAGACTTCTTTTCTTATTCTTCTTATTGGAAGAAAACTCCAGATCAGCTGTAAATGATTATTTTTACATGATGTGTGAAGTAAAGCGGTTGTAAAAATGGTGCTACAGCTAAAACAGATCCAGTCATCAAATACAAGAGAATGACTTGTTTACTTAAATGGCTTCAAACGAAGGTTTCGCATGACTTTTAAACATGCATAGATAACATCTAGAGCACGTGTCAGGCTCCAGTCCTCGTGGGCCGAAACACTGAAGACTTCAGCACACTGCCTCGTTAAACACTCCTGATTCAGCTCATCAGCTAATTAGCAAGGCCTTAATGAACTGAGCTCAGAGTGTTAGATGAGGGTAAGCGCTGATCTCTGCGGCACTTTGGCCTGAAAGGTCCCCAGTTTGACACGTCTTCTACATAGACAGGAAACTTTATATTCACACGATAAATGTAAAACATTTCTGCCACTAAAGTAATTAACATCAGCAGTTTATCTAGTTTTTAATCTCTTCAGTATATTTCTCTGGTAATCATGCAGATTATTTTGTACAGAAATGAGTTTTTATTGATTTCACATTTGTGTTTGTAATTTGAGATGCAGCTCCTTTAGCGTTTTTCTTTAAGGCTAAACAAAAAAAGCTAAACTCTAATCTTGAACGATGGTATTGCATTATCTGCTGACTGATGCTCTGATGACTCTTCTCTCGTGTAGCGATATCAGTTTTGTCTGCACACAATATAAAATGTCACATATATCAGTCGGCCTGAACTCCCACCCCACCAGCCGCAGTCTGGTCAGGTATAGGTGTCTTTTTTTAGGCTGGTTAATCTAATAAAACAGAAAATGAGAATTAGATCTTGGTGTTAACTGGCCGGTTTTAGATCGTTTTAGCCTAGAATTCCTGCATCCCAGTCTTATGTAAAATATCCTTACAGTGTAAATATCTTAGCTTTTTATTTATTTATAATCCTTTATATTGCTAATTTTTGGTGAAGGATAGAATTTATATTTTTATCTTATTTTTTACTTTTAGTATTATATATGTGTGTGTGTGTGTGTGTGTGTATATATATATATATATATATATATATATATATATATATAGTCTATGTAGTAAAAAGTAACATCTGTAAAACTGTAAAACCCTAAAAACAAAGTTAATTACGTAGTTTGTTAATTCTCTTCTTGTTACTTCCTTTCTTGGCCTTGCTGTCGCTTTGCTGCTGTAACACTGAGAATTTCCCCGTTGTGGGACTAATAAAGGATTATCTTATCTTATACCTCCAAAACTAAACACCGCCCCCTTTGCATATCAAAAGGTACTAAAATGAAAAGTATTTAAAGTATTTAATGAATAAGTTACCTGATAACATCAGTAGAGAATAACATTACATTGTTCTTTTAAACTGTGAAATCTATCTGTTTTATTTATATTTATATATATATATATATATAACAGAAACTCTGGTAGTTATATATGACTAAACCATATGAATCGACTCCTGTGAAAACGGAATGCAGGCTTTTCCCAAAATGTATGCGTTATTGAATGTAAATATCATTGAAAGCCGTCTGTAAGATATTATATATTGCTCTGAAAAGCTCTTTCTTGTCGAGGTGGGCAGAGCAGGTGACAGTTTGCTGTTTGTGACTAGTTAGGGTTCAGCTTGATAAATAAACATCAAGTGTATAATAATTAAAAGTCTTTTTAATATTGGTTGTTCGTTTTTTAAGCCTAGTTTGTCATATAACAAAAAAACATGAAGCCAAGCTCTTTGTTTAATTCGTTAAATGAATTAATCACAATATAAAACTCAAAATTACTCTAAATGTCCATAGACAGGATTTTTAATCTCTGTTGACAGTGTGATGTAGAGAAAGGCCAGTCATTCCTGGGTCAACGACCTGATTCAGTGTGTATTAGGTACCATTTGATTCCAGCTTCTCAGCCGATGAGGCGAAATCCAGCGTGGAGGAGTTACAACAACAGAAACCTCCTTTACCGACCCTCATACCGTTAGTGAGCTGTAAAACAGCTGAACTTTGGTGTGGATGTTACATGAGAGGAGAGAGAGGGATAAACAGAGGGAGAGAGGAGTGCAGGGATGGGGTTTGTGAATGAGTGACTGATCAGAAGCCTAAACACATGACTTTTATGCCTGCTGGAGTAATTTCAGCCTCATGTAATCCTGTTTTATTCCTGCCTGATACCATTAACAGGCTTTAGGATGCTGAACTTTAGCTTTAGGAGACTATACAGTTGTCAACTTGGCAGTTTTATGATGGAAAGTTGTGGCGTTTGTTGTGCTAAATCAGAGAGTAAGCTACTTTTGCTGGGGGGGGGCAGGAACACCTCGCTATTGACGCCACTCTGAGCTTCGTAACTTTTATGAACATTCTTTAGTTTAAGGGAGGCGGTCTGCGTTGTCTCAAACTTGTGTAGTTTAAGGCTGTGATGCTGTATTTTGTAGAATCACCATTTGCTTGATGGAAAAAAGTTAAAGACGATTCAGAGACTGAGGCCCCGCCCACACACACCTGGATATTTTTGATATGGAGGTTTTTGAAACCCTACTGTCAGTGTTTTCATGTGGACGGACAAAATGTCATCTCTATTTTGTGCCCAGTTCTTGTAAATGAGGCGTCATCTCGACTGCAAAAATACCTCCTTGATTCTGAAGATACAGATGAAGTCATGAATCTACAGACATTTAGGCTGAAGTCATTAAAACTCATTTATCTCCTCCACAGTTTCCATGCCAACAAACTATAGTTTTACCAAGACTTTTCTATTCACCAGCTTCTTATTTGAATTTTCCGTTCCACCTTAAATCGTGCCAGTAGTTACATTCTGACGCCTGACTGCTGCGCCATTTAAGGTGGAACAGCAAATTTGAATATGAAGCTGGGGACTAAACTTCAGCCTCCTGATGAACACTGCGCTTGTTTTACCTGCAGAAGTTGTAAAGTCGGTCAGATAGAGACAGCTGTGCTTCTTTTGAGGGAAGTGGTCAGTTCGCCTGGTACGTTTTTCCAGTGGGAGTTTAAGCACTGAGCTGGGCTTATTGATACTCTTGATGCTTTGCTTGTTTCTAGTTTATGGAGGTGAACTTGCGCTCCAACGCTTCACTCGTCCTCTGAAATAAAATAAGCCGAGCATAAACACAGTAACAGACATTGGAGGGCGCTGTTGTACATCGAATTTACGACAGAAAACTGATTAATTTACATGAACAGTAAGCGGCTGTGTAGAGTCCCGTCCGCAGTCAGACTCCCCACGTTTCCTCCAGTTTGGGTCTTTCCGAGTCTTGAGGCTCAAGTCCGAGTCATTGATATTCAAGTCAAAGTCAAGTTGTCTTTTTTGATTTTGCTGCGTCGAGTCTCAAGTCATCAAATTTATGACTCGAGTCAGACTCGCGTCCAAGTCATATGGCTCAAGTCCACACCTGTAAAGTTTTTCAGAGGAATCCAGGCAGAGTTACAGTTTATAGGCTGTGAAGGACCAACTGGGTAGTCTGCTACAGCGCCACCCTGAGGCAGAGCAGTGCTGCAGCTTTAGTTAGTTAAGAACACCAAAGGCAGAAGCTGATTGTGGGGGAAGCAGATAAACAATCAGCTTCACTGAATCTGGATTTGAGTGTCAAAATGAGTTTATTTTCGGGGACCCCCAGAATCCCCTGTATTTCACCCCTCACCCATCCCTACTAAATACATCCCCTTCTTAACAGACCCCGGGTGAGTTTGCTAGAGAATCTGTGATATATAGTGGTTTACTGTGTTTCTCTTGCATTAAAAGCTGAGTTGTGACCTCGTATTTCCTCGATACGAGGAGGAAAAACGACTGTATGTGTTTGTATTTAAGGTGGATTTGACGATAACTCTCCTCTGAGCTCGGTGGAGCGGTTCGATCCCAGGATGCACCGGTGGGAGTACGTTGCTGAACTCACTACACCCAGGGGCGGAGTTGGTGTTGCCACGGTGATGGGGCGGGTCTTTGCAGTGGGCGGCCACAACGGGAACATCTACCTGAACACAGTGGAGGCGTTCGACCCGCGCATGAACAGGTGAGACTCTCTGCTAACTGACCCCTGCGCTGATTCTAGCATCAGCTCATTAACATATTAATGCTCCACCCACAAATGCAGCCTTTCATAGCAGCTGATGTGAAGTTTACAGAACTCTAGTACATCAATCTTTATTTATATGGGACTTTTCTAGAACAGCTTTACAATGAAATACAATACTCAAAATGCAGTGAACGCAGAATAGTAAAATCCTCACCACTCTACACACCTAAAGATGGTTCTTCACGGGTTCTTTAGTAAGGAAAACGGTTCTATATAAAGCCATGACCACTCAACAAACGCTTTGCATGACAGTGGTTGTTTGCATGGTGAAATGGTTCTTCAGATTGATGGAGAATGTAATGTATATGATTCTATATAGCACTAAAAAGGGTTCTGCTATTGTTGTTACAAGCTTGATATCGTAACAGTAGAAGAGCCCTTTTTGGTGCTATATAGAACCATTACATTCTCCTTCAATCTGAAGAGCGCTTTCATGATGTAAAGAACCCTTTAATCATGCAAAGCGTTCTTTGAATGTTTGTGGTTCTATATAGACCCATTTTCTTTAAAGAACCACACTTTGAGAGTGCAGTTCAAGAGCTGATAAAAGCAAGAGAATAAGATATATTTCAGAATGAACATATATTTACAGAAAAGCAGCACTACCTCCTTAGTCTTTGTACTGTTTACACCCAAATATAGGTCAAAGTAGATTTATGAATCACTGCTTTCTGTTTTTATTAGCATTTTACCATCTCAGCTTTTCTGGAATTGGGTTTATATTAGCAACATATTAAAGTGTATTCCGTTTTAATATTAGCAATAAAAAAGTTAACCTGCTGTCTGTGTGTCTTTGTGTGTGATTATATATGCTGTGTGTGTGTGTGGTGTGTGTGTGTGTAGGTGGGAGTTGGTGGGGTCCGTGTCTCACTGCAGGGCGGGTGCAGGAGTTGCCGTCTGCGCCACCCACATCAGTCAGATCCGAGACGTTGGTCAAGGGTCCAGCAACGTGGTGGACTGCATGTAACAGCGCGGGCAGAAGACCCCACAGCCCCCGTCTGAGCCTTCATAGACAATCCATACAGAACAGAATACATGACACAGAACAGAACACAGAACACAACTGCAGCCTCTTCTGAAGATTCCTGAGCTGATCTGACGTCTTTTGGTCGTATCACTGTATTAAATATCAGTATCTATTCTCTCCATCGTCTCATACTCGTAGTGCTGAGGCTCGGACTTCAGAGGACATGTTTTATGAATGAAGCTTGTGCTGAACACAGTCTGTGTTTAATCCGCTCTCAGTTCCATGATGAGTTCTGTAGCGGTTCTAAAGGGAGATCCTCAGCTGTGGTGGAGAATGAGCTTGTACACGTGACTCTGTGCCTCTTTAAAACTAAGCGCAGTGCTGGGAGCAGCTGTTAGACCCTTTTCACACGTACAGATTTCCATTTCGATCACTTTCTATGTTTCAAGCTTGATCAAAACGAATGGCCAGTATCAGAAAACCAAGTTCGAAATGGAAGAGTTTGATGTCGTATATAAACACTGTTAAAGTCCATATAATAAGCAGAAATTAAGCAGCTCAAACAGCCCATTTTGAAATGATTGTGTTTTTTGATGTCACAAAACCCAACCCCTTTACATTTATTCACCTATTCAGCCTACAACAATTTAGCCCCACCCCTTCATTTTGAGGTGTGAGAATTTTAGCCCCGGTTGCTTTTTGATTGACACAACACTCCAAAAAATGGTGTCTTGGCAAGTGAAATTATCTTCCATCTAGTTGATAAATCTAGTATTTCTCATATTGAGATTGTTGAAAGCTTATTATAGGAATATTATTATAAGTAACTTAATTCTAGACTTTTTAAAGTCATTTTATTCAGTCAAATGATCTCACTATATTGGCAGATCATTTTGCTTGTTCTAAGAAATATGCTTGACACACAAGTTTGTATGCCAAGATCTTATAATGACCTTTTATCAGTCTCCAAATCTGAAATATTAGATATGTCTAATAGATTTAAGATAATTTAGAGGCACAATAACAAAAACAGCCTGTTTAGTTCAGAGGTGAAGAGTTTGGTCATAAAAATGACCATATAAACTCTGACCAGGTCAGATGTGAACCGTGATGTCGGTTTGATGAGCAGAAGGCGTTTGTGAGGGACAAATGTCCTTCAGATCTAAAACTAGAGCTAACTCGTTACGCAGTGAAGGAGGACTCTTCTACGTGCTCTTGTGTGGTACTGGTTGTGCTCAGACTGGATTTATTACCTGCTTTAGATATTGGTGGATGTGGTAAGCTGGAATTGTGAAAAGGGCCTATTGAGATAATCAGTTCTGACAGTATGCAGTGTGGTTCCCCCAGCAACTGAAATAGATAAACATCAGCTAGTTTTTCCAGCTGCTCAGTAGCCCTCACCATCTCAAATACCCATAACTGAGCGAAGCCAAGTAAAGATGCCTCTTTTAGCCAGATGACAACATGGACACGGCCATTTTCACATCTACAGAGTTGCTCAGAATCTGGAGTTTGCTAGCACCAGAAGTACTGCTGGTAGAACGCACAAAATCGAGTCTGAGCTGTTTTACGACTTTTTCTTTGGAGACAAGAATTGTGCCATGGGCTCACCAAGTCCCCTGCTCATGCATGGACAATCAATCAGGATTTTTAGAGAAAGAGCTAGGGTGGTGGAGGTCTTGAAGTGCAATAGAACGTCTGTAGAACCAGCCTGAACGTTGGCTGTGGTCATTAGAATGTACCACAAAAAAGAAACCAGCGTTTTGGAGATGGACACTCCCACACAGGTCCAGCGTCAGCTCAGCGTTTCGGACACTGAGGGTGATGCACTCTGGCCTGTGGAGACGACCACTGGTATTAAAAACTCTGAAAGTCTGCGGCTGATGTGGGTTCCGTGTGAAGAACATGTTCCCATCAAGCCCTGGGATCTGCTAAAGCTCTCTTCTAGACTCAACTGATCTAGACTCGGCTTTACTGGAGTTCAGATCTCTGAGAATCTTTCACTTCTGGACTTCTGGGAGTCGTGATAACGTCTTGAGAGCTTTAAAGTTCCAGTCCTGGAACGCTGAGAGCTGTGAACATTCAGTTCTAGAATTCTCAGACCTTGAAATCTTTTCAGATTACCAGAGCTATGAAGTTCCAGGAATTCTGAAAGTTGAGATTCTAGCTCTAGAATTGTAACAGCTATGAAATTTCAGATCTGGAATTCTGAGATCTTCTTGAGATATTTTCAAATTCTACTTCTAGAATTGTGAGAGCTATGGAGTTCCAGTTCTGGAATTGCAAGAGCTATGAGGTTCTACTTCTGGAATTCTGAAAGTTTATAGGCTCTAGCTCTAGAACTGTGAGAGCTATGAAGTTTCAGGTCTAGAATCTGAGACCTTCTTGAAATATTTTCGTATACTAGTTGTATTGTGGAAGCTGTGACGTTCTAGTTCTGGAGTTCTGAAAGTTGTGAGATCCTAGCTGTATAATTTTAAGAGCTACGGAGTTTCAGATCTAGAATCCTGAGACCCTCTTATGACTTGAAACAACTGCAAAGTTCTCATTTTAGATTTCTGAAAGGTTCTAGACATCTGAGGTCTGTGAATTTAAGGTTCTTGAATTGGGAGCTTCTGGAAGCTCCATGAAGAGGTTTGTATGTCAGGCCTGATTTTACTATGAAGTTTGATCATCGTATGTTTATTTTATTCGTGCACTATTTTCTGAGACGGTTTGAGTAAATTTCTCTCTTTCTTTGAAACAGAAACAGAATGTTTGCGTATTCGTGCTGTTCTGCAGATGTTTTTGATGGCTTTTCTGCTTATTAGTAATTTTCTCTGATAACGTGTGAGTTTTATTATCTCATATCTCAGCTGCCTGTTAGACTTTCTGCAGTGTTGTTGTGAAAAGCCTTCAGACGGTCTTTCCAATGGGACGATCTGATTATTCATATTTATATATTGATATATTTTGTCAGTTTACTCAGTAAAGTACTTTTTTTTCAGATAGTAATTTATGTGTTGATATTGTTGAGCTGTGCAGTGACATTGTTGACGTGGCACTGACTGATTTGACGTTGTTGTAAATGAGCAGTGATGATGTGATTAATCAGTGAACACATCACATCTGTAATATAGCGAGTGACTCTGGTGGAGTGAGTGGACGGTATGTTTTGCATATTTATATAGATTTTAATGACTGAATGCACTGCTCAGACTAGAGAATCATATCCAGATGAGGTTATTTATTGAAGCGCCGTTAAAGCGGTGCATGCTCTGCTTGTGCAATGCTGACTTTCGGTAGCAAAACGTTTTGTATCAGGTGTAAAGATGATGAGATCGACTCCCGCTGCAGTTCTGTACGTCCCTCAGCCTTTCATCATTTTCTCTCCAGATAATCAGAGGTGAACGTATTTTTTGGACTGAATTGCTGAACTGAGTGCAGACATGCATCTATTTTGAATCACAGTGTGTTATTTTTGCCTTTTTTGGAGGATTCACAGGTCCTTCTACAGCGGACTCTGAGTTTGTGATTGCTCCAGAACGTTTTTTTCCAGTCAGAGTAACTCGTACTGTAGCTGTACTGTATCTTATCTTGACTCTTTGCATTGATCAGTCTGTTTGTACTGTCCAAATAAAGTTATAAAGAATACATTTATAAAAGAAACTCTAGTTCAGTGTTATTTGTTTAACCTTTCATGCAAAAACGTCAGTTTCGGCTGTTTAAGCTGCTCTTTCTCAGGTTCAGAGCGTGATTTCCCAATATTGTTTTTCTTTGACTTTCACTGTAAAGACTTTCACTGTAAAATGACAGTAAATTACTGACAACTAGCTGTACTGAATCAGCAGTAAATAAGAGTAATGACAGAATGCAAGATGCATAGCAGGTTATTTAATGAAATGTGTTTTAATTAAGAATCTTTAAGTAAGTCTAAAAATCACATGTGGGCTGATATGAACGTCGGTCGGTGTTCTGATAAAAACTACATTTACATTACATTAAAATGTTTTAATAAAAACTTGACTGATCAGTGAGAGATGAGTAGAATCTGGCCTTGAGATTTGTAGAGTGTTTTTAAAGATCTGAAACTGTAAGGAGTAAAAAAAGTTCAATTATTGTAATACTTCAGTACAGATCTTTAAAAGTACATCCTTCAAAGTATATATATATATATATATATATATATATATATATATATATATATATATATATACACACACACACACTATATGGACAGAAGTATGTCTCCATAGACAAACACTGGCAGTAGAGGGTCGCACTGATGAGCTCAGTGACTTTAAACATGACTCTGTTATAGGATGCTGCCTCTGCCACAAGTCAGTTTGTGAGAGTTCTGTCCTGCTAGATCTGCCCCTGTCAACTGTAAGTGCTATTACTGTGAAATGGAAGCAGCTAGTAGCGACAACAGCTCCATTCCTCTATGGGCAGAATGAATAGGATTTTTTTTCGTAAAAATCGCCTCTATCGCCCCCTGTGTTAAATAAACATGTTTAGAACCTGATACCCGATAAGACCACTGGACCCTCTGAATTATGAGGTCGTTAAAGTATTGAAATATGAATATTGCTACATGTGAGCTAAAGCTACTGTGCACTGAATTGACGTCATTAGACTGGCAGCCTCCTTAACCAGGCTTTGGCAGCCTACATTAGCAAGCAAAGTTTATTAATGTAGAGCTCTCTACAACAGGTGTCACAAAGCAGCTTTACAGAAAAATCCAGGTCCGAGCCCCCATGAGCGTCGCCAATGGAGACAGTGGCAGGAAAAACTCCCCAAGAGGAAGAAACACTGAGAGGAACCAAGACTCAGAAGGGGAACCCATCCTCCTCTGGACCACACTGGATAGGAAACAGCGTTAGTATAAAATATTAGAATACAAACCAGGAAAAACAGACGGAGCAATGATTAATTAGACAGTCTGAGTTTCTGCAGCAGCAGCAGGAGGGTCAGTTCATGAGGGTGAGGTTTGCACAGCGTTGCACAGCATGAAGTTCAATGGTGGTCAAACCGGTCCAGAAGGCTGGTGAGCAGTGGCCAGATCAAGGCAGAAGAAGCGACAGCTTTAGACCCACAGGATGGGCAGCTGTTCAACTCGGCACAGAGAGGAAACACACAGAGAGTCAGTTCTGTACAGAGAGACTGACCACAGATTACAGGGTTAACAGAGCAGCAGAGACTCCGGCAGGTCTAGATATTACAGCCTCACTAAGAGGGAGAGACAGACGGTAACAGAGTCATGAGGCTCCCTGAGATGTCGGCGCCCCTCCACTCCACCGTCAGCAAACCTGAGTGAGTGCGCGAGGCAGCGGGACGACAGCACCAACACTCCCAGTTGACCATAATACTCTATGACCATGAACCCCAGATCTGCACCTTTTATCTAACAGGGAAAGCTAATTACCAAAGGCTCCACTAAACAAGTGGGTTTTAGTCTAGACTTAAAGACTGAGGCTGTGTCTGAGTCCCGAACACTGACTGGAAGATTATTCCAAAGCTGGGGGGCTTTGTATGAGAAGCTCCGCCCCCTGATGTAGATTTATTAACTCTAGGTACTAATAGTGAGCAGCACCTTGTGATCTAAGTAGGCGTGATGGTTCATAGTGGGAGAGAAGTTCACTCAGGTACTGAGGGGCGAATTTCCATGTTCAGGGATGAAAAGAGGTCAGAACAGAATCAGCAGGTTTCCCTGCAGTTCTCTGCTCTTCACCTGATACTGAAACACCATAGATCTCTCCTTTTAGCTGGTTTTGAAAAGCTCTACAAACGAACCTGAACTCGGGCTGATCCGGTACAGACTCAGCTTATTGATCACTGCTCACCCTGATAAACTGATTTAGGCTCTCAGAATATCCGCATTATTATTTTAATGCTGGGAACTTTTTTCTCAGGACATTCACCAGCTTTTTGTTCAACTTTTCCCGTTCCACCTTAAGAGGTACAGCAGTCACGTTCTGAACGGCTGCGCCATTTAAGGTGGAAGGGGAAAATTCGAACGAGCAGCCGGAGAAAAAGAAGCTGATTCAGCTTCATGGAGGGTTGAAAGGCCTGATATGAGGAGGTTTCTCTGTTTCCACTGAGTAATATTGACTTATTTCTGCTGTTTCACAGAACCGACAGGTCAGGATTTCGTCCCGTTTACTAATGTTTGTATAGTCACAGCTGCTGCACCATTTAAGGTGGAACGGGAACAGTCAAACAAGAAGCTGCGAAAAAAGAGGCTGAATTCAGCCTCGTAGTTTAATCGTGTTTTTGATACGGAGTTTTAGTTTATCAAAATATCCCACCCAGAGGTTTTATTTACGGGTTTACCTGTAATTCTGCGCTACGGTAGAACATTTCGATAAGGTAGCTCAGCTGGTCACAGCAGCGCCACAGACGCCTTAGTTTAGTGTAGCTTAGTGACATCAGATTGATGCGCAGTAGCTTCAGCTCACATGTAGCACTATTAGTATTGTAGCTCTTTAATGACCTCGTAATTCAGAGGGTCCAGTGGTCTTCGAGAGAAGAATGTTCACAGGACAGAACGGATCCGGTTCTGAACATGGTTATTTAACACAGGGGGCGCTAGAGGCGATTTTTCGAAAACTCTATTCATTCTGGCCATAGAGGAATGGAGCTCAGACCCGGAGTTCCTAATATGGACATAAAGAGGACTACAGAATGACCAGGACTACAGTGGACTGTGCCAAGCGTCGGCTGGAGGGGTGTAAAGCGCCACCACTGGACTCTGGAGCAGTGGAACCGTGTTCTCTGGAGTGACGAATCAGCTTCTCTATCTGTCAGTCTGATGGACGAGTCTGGGTTTGGCGAATGCCAGGAGAACGTTACCTGCCTGACTGCACTGTGCCAGCTGTAGAGTTTGGTGGAGGAGGGATGATGATATGGGGTTGTTTTCAGGGGTTGGTCTAGAACCCTTAGTTCCAGTGAAGGGAAATCGTAATGCTTCAGCACCAAGACATTTTGGACAATTGTACACTTCCAACTTTGTGGAACAGTTTGGGGAAGAACCTTTCCTGTTCCAGCATGACTGAGTCCCAGTGCACAAAGCAGCTCCATAAAGGCCTGACTGGGTGAGTTTGGTGTGGAAGAACTTGACTGGCCCTCACAGAACCCTGACCTCAACCCCATCAAACACCTTTGGGATGAACTAGAACGGAGATTGTGAGCCAGGCCCTCTCGTCCAACATCAGTGTCTGACCTCACAAATACTCTTCTGGATGGATGGACACAAATTCCCACAGACTCTCCAACATCTTGTAGGAAGCTGTTATACACTGACCAGCTACTTCATTAAGTCCACCTCCTGGTATCTACACTTATTGTCCATTTTATCAGCTCCACTGACCATATAGACACTGAGGTGTTTAAAAACTCCAGCAGCACTGCTGTGTCTGATCCACTCAGACCAGCACAACACACACTAACACACCACCACCACCACGTCAGTGTTACTGCAGTGCTGAGAATGATCCACCACCCACATAGTATCTCCTCTGTGAGGGTCCATGGGGGTCCTGACCACTGAAGAACAGGGTAAAAGGGGGCTAACAAAGTATCAGAGAAACAGATGGACTACAGTCTGTAACTGTAGAACTACAAAGTGCACCTATATAGTAAGTGGAGCTGATAAAATGGACAATGAGCGTAGAAACAAGGAGGTGGTTGTAATGAAGTGACCGGTCAGTGTGCGTGTGTGTGTGTGTGCGTGTGTGCGTGTGTGTGCGTGTGTGTGTGTGTGTGTGCGTGCGTGTGTGTGTGTGTGTATAAATGAATGTCTGTGTTTCGGCGCTGAGCTGAATGGTGTTTCTCTCTCTCGTTAACTGTGATGACCGTTTATTGTTTTAGTGTTTTATTGTGCAGCTCAGTGTAAATTCTCTGTAAAGCCGTTAAAGGAGCTGCTGAACAGAAGCGGTTATTAAATAACCTTTACAGTCTGGAAATATGAGCTGTTATAAACTTTGTTCAGTTTCTCTTATGGACTTTGGTAAAATTGTGCATTTCCATCCTGACTAATTTATCCAGACTCCAGAAAATGATGCTGACGCTGACACTTTACAGAGCAAGAATAGATTATAATTCTACTGAATCAGAGTCAGAACTGAAACTCCTCTGGGACTTTAACTGATCTCAGACCTTAGACTCAAATCCTTTTTGCTCTGAGTGACTCTAAACCTTTATTATGATTATTTTATTAAAATTAAATAATAAATTAAATAATAATTTTAAATTTATTAAAACTAATGATGGAACACTACATTCTTTTCACCACTGAAACAATCATAACTCTACCAGACTTTACCAAATGTGTCAGTAGTGACTGTTTCAGTAGTGACTGTTTCAGTAGTGTCTGTTTCAGTAGTGTCTGTTTCAGTAGTGTATGTTTCAGTAGTGACTGTTTCAGTAGCGACTGTTTCAGTAGTGTCTGTTTCAGTAGTGTCTGTTTCAGTAGTGACTGTTTCAGTAGTGTCTGTTTCAGTAGTGACTGTTTCAGTAGTGTCTGTTTCAGTAGTGACTGTCTCAGTAGTGTCTGTTTCAGTAGTGTCTGTTTCAGTAGTGACTGTTTCAGTAGTGTCTGTTTCAATAGTGACTATTTCAGTAGTGTCTTTCAGTAGTGACTGTTTCAGTAGTGACTGTTTCAGTAGTGACTGTTTCAGTAGTGTCTGTTTCAGTAGTGACTGTCTCAGTAGTGAGTGTTTCAGTAGTGACTGTTTCAGTAGTGACTGTTTCAGTAGTGACTGTTTCAGTGACAATTTTAGCTCATTTTGAGCTCAGAAACCCAGCAGTTCAGACCAGCAAACACAGCTTTGAACAGCTGTTCACACAGAAAATCATCATATTTTACATGAAAACACTAAAAAGTGCTGAACTGCAGAAAATATGGCAATTCTTAATGTTCCACACTGACTTTCAGACTTTGGGACTCATTTGCTTCAAAACAATGGGATCTAAAGTCTAAATCCAGCATGTTTCTTTCACACTCTAAACGTGAAGATGCTGCCTATAGAATAATTACAGAAAACATATGATCTTTAGAGGATGAAGCACACAATGGCTTTCGAATAAAGATGGAGGAAAAGATTAAATATTAGATGTTTCTGTTCATATCTTTAAATATTATTTAATGTGCCTTTGCACAATTACTGTTTATTTGTTAAATTTAACACATAAAAAATGTTTTTCCCTAAAATAATGACACATTTTATATTCTATGTTTTCCAGCACATTAAACTCAGCAAATAAATACAACCTGTGTAATAAAATTAGCAGAAAATTGCCATATTTGAGTGTTTCTATAGAGGAACTGTATTGTTAGCTTATTTACACTTACAAAATCAACAACGACATGAAATTATTCTGCGGTTTGGGGGGGGGTGTTACAGGAGGTGGGGGGGTGTCTGAAAACAGAAGCTTGCAGGACACATCTTAGTTGAGCTGAACAGTGTTTTATGAACTTTGAGTGTAAATTATTGAATCATTTCTTAATCTTAATGGAAATGAAATATTTACTGTCCTGTTCATGGATTTATTTATTTATTTATTTATTTATTTCTGCTTGTTTAAATCAGTCGTTCTCAAACTGGGGCTGAAGTTGCGTCTCTTACTCATTTTTATTTTTTCAGTTTATTTACTGTACAGTTTGCTGTCGTTTGTAAACACTGTTAAAGTTTCAGGACGTTCAGTTCACTTTCCAGAACATTAGTCTGTGAACAAACCAACTCATTTACATATATAAACCTGTTCAGCCTGTGGCAGTTCAGCCCCGCCCACCACGCTGAGGTTATAAGGAGTGTTTCAGCTCAGAAGTGTTTTTGAATGAGGTGCAATACACTGCAGCCAATCAGAACAGAGCTCATTTACATATATCAGTCTTAAAGTCACAGCTTGTTTAGTGATGGGATAAACAGAGACTAGAACTGATTTTTTTGGGTCATAAAAACAGTTTAAAAATGTTTAAAAAAGGCCAAAAAAGTGGAAAATAAAGTCCAGGGAAAGTGTGGAATATCAGCCCCTTAAATCCACACGGTCTAAAAAAGTGATGCTCGTTTAAAAATGCTACATTTTACTGAATGATATTAAAATGAAATGTGCAGCCAATCAATGAACGTTTTAATCAGTGTTTCTGACTGATTATGTAGATGTACAGTTATTATTAATTTTTTGTTTTTCTCACCCTTTACTAAACGGGGGTCGGTGGGGGTCCCTCCGATGTGGCCCTGCTAGAGTGAACACCCAGTCCTGTGCAAAAGTTTGTGCACCCCTGGTCAAATTCCCTGTATTTGTTGATGTTCTGAGTGTAAATAGTTACAGATCCTCTACAGAGACTCACGACTGGACACTCTAAATACAGTTACTGTTTATTCACTGAACTTGGGGGGCGAAATGTGGCCTGTGTGAAAGTTATGGCACACTTTATATATGATGTATTTTTCCTGTGTGTTGATTAAATAAACAGATCTAAAATGTTCTTCATTAACACTGAACCTCACTCAGACGCCGGGAGCTGCTGTGGTTGGTTCACGGTCTAATCTTTGGACTCTGGGCAGGCAGTGAAAAGCGGGCGCGTCTGGTGAAGATGCTCAGACTCTGCCGGAGGGGCAGCTGCTGCACACACTGGGCCTCTCTATGGGAATTGTGGGAAGTTAGTAAAGCAATGCAGTTCATTCTGACTCAGTAGAGGTCAGATCACACGTCCAGCGTCTCACACTGTAGGAGTTTGACTGCGACTGAGAGAGCGTTAATTAATTAATTAATCAATCAGTCAGACGTGGAGCGCAGGATGATTGCGCTGCTCTTCACCCTCTGCGCTCTCCTCCACTCCGGTAAGTGCAGCTGGTTTATTCAGTGAATTATGATTAATACACTGTGGCTTATTATTCACAATGTTTAAGCACCGTCTGGTGATTCCAGTGTTTTAGATTCAGATTGTTTTTCAGGTGTGTAAAGTGTTAAAATGGACTCTTTACTGTAAATGAATTATGTAAATTTTTAGTTTGTCTTTATAATTCACACATTTTATGTATTTTACTTTATATGTATATATGTGTGTGTATATATATTCTGTACATTAACTCTTTACGTGTGTGTGACAGTGTTAAGGTTCAGGTCTTATTTAAGCCTCCGTTTTGTGAGATTCATGTGATTTTTATGAGTCTCCTCAAACTGATCGAGTCAAACATTTCCAGTTTGTCCCTTTCACTGCTGTAATGTAGAGGTGTGTGTCACATGGCCGAGCTCACTGTCATGGGACTTTTATTGTGGAAAAACAGACTTTGAGCGCTTTTACTGAATCACTCTGAGAGTTCAGAGCCAATTCTGATTTTAAGGGCCTAAAAACTGTTAAATTAAAGTAGCTTTTGTTAATCTGTGCTTTTCTGTCTGATCATCCGTTATTAATGTGTACATTTCCTAAAAGAAGAGTCAGTATTGATCCTCTCAGCACTGCCGGCTTCAAACAGCTGAAAAACACTGCTGAGCTGGTTTGAGTTTAATATGAGACCAAATATTCACTAAAGGGTTTAAATCTGGACACTGACCAGCCAGAACCCAGCAGTAACAACTTATATTTTGGGTTTGGCACATGTTTTTGCCCAGGATTGTGTTTACGTGACAATTTATCGTCAGCTAAGATTTGAGGATCGTGACCAGTGGAATCACTGCAGTCGGGTTAATGTTTGTAATTTTGTTGATTCTCTTTCTTATTTTTATTATCAGAAGTAAATTATGACTGATTTGGTACATAAACACACAAACATTATAAGTGAATCCCAAAGGGTTAAAAAATCAATAGAAATATCAGATATTGGCTCTTTAGATGACACAGATTCTCACTGTATCTCCATTTTTTCCATTTTTATTTTCCTACGTCAGTCTGAGTTCAGCAGCTGCTCTTTACACTGTGTTAAAATGTTATGATGAACAGACCAATAGAAATGCTTTGAATTTGTTGGAATAAAATCTCCTTTTTTTACTTGTGTGTTTATGTTTTTGCCCTTTCCTGTAAGTTTGCCATGTAGGAGACTCACTGCTTTTCTGGACAACAACAAAAATTCCTCATACGCTGCAAATACAGCTGAGTTTCTACTCACCATTAATAATAATACAGAAGAGCTTCACTCAAAACAAAGAACCTTCATCATATCACACAGTGTTACAGAGCATTCTGCTGAAACTGAGTCTGAAACAGTGAAGTTTTCAGATCTGAGATATTTACAGTGAGTCTGTTCTGATCTGTTTAAACTCAAGACATTAATAGAGACAGTAATTAACTAAATATATACTAAATCATAATTTATAGGGTGCTTTATATTATGAGTCTGTCACAAATCCTAAATTTACACTTCTGAAAAAATACTTTTATTTTTTTCATGTTTTTAAAGAATCTTTTTGATTTTTTTTAAAGCGAAGTTGGACGTTTTAGATTTATTATGAGTTTCGTTTTTTTAAATTAAAGACTGTCTCAGATTCTTCACTGCAGAAACACAGAGCTTTAGCCACGCCCCTGCATTTTAGAGCAGGGAGTGAGGCTGCATCCCTGTCCCTCATGGCTACATGGTGAGCAGTTAGATCCCATTGTTTTGAAGTAAATGTGTCCCAAAGTCTGAAAATCAGTGTGGAACATTAAGAATCGTCATATTTTCTGCAGTTCAGCACTTTTTAGTGTTTTAATGTAAAATATGATGATTTTCTGTGTGAACAGCTGTTCAAAGCTGTGTTTGCTGGTCATGAACTGCTGAGTTTCTGAGCTCAAGATGAGCTAAAATTGTCACTACTGAAACAGTCACTACTGAAACAGTCACTACTGAGACAGTCACTACTGGAACAGTCACCACTGAAACAGACACTACTGAGACAGTCAGTACTGGAACAGTCACTACTGAAACAGACACTACTGAAACAGACACTACTGAAACAGTCACTACTGAAACAGACACTACTGAGACAGTCACTACTGGAACAGTCACTACTGAAACAGTCACTACTGAAACGGTTGCTACTGAAACAGTCACTACTGAAAGTCACTACTGAAACAGTCACTACTGAAACAGACACCACTGAAACGGTCACTACTGAAACGGTCGCTACTGAAACAGTCGCTACTGAAAGTCACTACTGAAACAGACACTACTGAAACAGTCACTACTGAAATACAGACACTACTGAAACAGTCACTACTGAAACAGACACTACTGAAAGTCACTACTGAAACAGACACTACTGAGACAGTCACTACTGAAACAGTCACTACTGAAACAGACACTACTGAAACATTCACTGCTGATGTATTTGGTATGGTTTGGTAGAATTATGATGGTTTTGGAATGTTTAATCATTAGTTTTAATAAAATAATCATAATTGAGGTTTAGAGTCACTCAGAGCAAACTCTCTCTATCTCTCTGATCTCTCTCTCTCTCTCTCTCTCTCTCTCTATATATATATATATATATATATATCTGTTCTCTCGCTCTCTCTCTCTCTCAGCGTGGGGCGAGTGTGAGACAGGGTGGAGGCCGTATCAGGACCGCTGTTATTTCTTCTCCAGCAGCACTAAGACGTGGCACGACGCTCTGGCCGACTGTCAGAGTAAACACAGCAACCTGATGAGCATCAGTGACATTCACGAGAGGGTGAGACCACCAGGGCTCTCTGACCTCCATTTCACAGCAGTCATAAAACACTGTTTCAGCTGTTTCATTTGAATTTTAATGATTTTGGTTCAATTAGATTTTTAAAAATATTTAAAATAAAAGTTGTATTATATTTTAACAATATCTGACGAGTCAGTTTCCAGTCAGCTGGCAGGACGGACACCAGGAGGCCAGCATGAAGGGGATAAAGTGGCAATTGGGTCAAAAATCGAATTCACAGACCAACACATGCCCCCTCAAGACCCCCTTAACTCCCCCAGACCGACACATGCCCCCTCAAGACCCCCTTAACTCCCCCAGACCGACACATGCCCCCTCAAGACCCCCTTAACTCCCCCAGACCGACACATGCCCCCTCAAGACCCCCTTAACCCCCCCCAGACCCATACATGCCCCCTCAAGCAACCCTCCAGTCCCACAAGACCCACACATACCCCCTCAAGCACCCCTCATGACACAGAAGACCCACACATGCCCCCTCAAGACCCCCTTAACCTCCCAGACCCACACATGCCCCCTCCAGCACCCCAGACACATGACCCCCCCCAAGACCCTTTTAACCGCCCTAGACCCACACATGCCCCCTTACAGCCTCCTTTCCCCCCAGACTCACACATGCCCCCTCAAGACCTTAACAGTTTTTAATAAGGCACAATACAGGGCAGCCAATCAGAACAGAGTAGAAATGAATTACTGCTGTTTTTAAGTCATACAAACATCAAAACTGAAGCTGGAATCGAATACAGCAGAAAACATAATGAACGACTGCAGCTCTTCAGCTCTGCTCTCTCCTGACGGTTCTCTGCAGCTGTGGGTCAGGACACAGATCGGCTCCACCATCTACTGGATCGGCCTGAATGACATCGTGTCTGAGGGGAACTGGGAGTGGAGCGACGGGAGTGTTTACTACCCCTACCTGGCGTGAGTAGCACCGACAGCACCACCTTACATGATCAGCAGTGAGTGGGTCACTGCAAAAACACTATCAGAGCGAGTAAAAACGTCTTAGATCTACTCAACGTATCTCATATTTCTCATGATGAGACTGATATAAGAATATTACAAGATTATTGAACGTATTTCTACACATTTCTACGTGTTTTAAGTTATTTTATCTGGTGAAAGGGTTTTATTCCATCGGCAGATCAGTTTACGTGTTTCGTGAAATAATGAAGATTATTTTACTTGTTTCAAAAAATAAAACTCTTTCACCACATACAATTATATAAAAAAGTAAAATTGTGTAGAAATAAGTTAAATAATCTCTTAATATTCTTACAGCATTTTATTATGAGAAATCTGAAAATGAAAAATCTTTTCACTATGTCAGTATGTACTGTTTGTGCAGTGTGAGCGGTCGGGCAGTGATGTTAATGTGAACTGTTTCCAGGTACTGGAGGGAAGGACAGCCGGACAACTATAACGATAACGAGGACTGCGGTCAGGTGGACGGGAACAGTAACGGCCAGTGGAACGACGAGCACTGTACAGCCCTGCGGCCGTACATCTGCAAACGGGACAACCGTGAGGCTCCGCTCACTAACTCTTCACACTTAACTCTTCACACTTAACTCTTCACACTTAACTCTTCACACTTAACTCTACACTTAACTCTTCACATTTAACTCTTCACACTTAACTCTTCACACTTAACTCTTCACACTTAACTCTACACTTAACTCTTCACATTTAACTCTCACACTAACTCTTCACACTTAACTCTTCACATAACTCTATACTACTCTCACACTTAACTCTTCACCTAACTCTCACCTAACTCTTCACACTTAACCCTTCACACTTAAGTCTTTACACTTAACTCTTCACACTTAACTCTTCACACTTAATTCTTTACACTTAACTCTTTACACTTAACTCTTTACACAACTCTTCACACTTAACTCTTCACACTTAAGTCTTTACACTTAACTCTTCACACTTAACTCTTTACGCTTAACACTTTAACACACAAAAAGCCATTAACAAAAACTAGAGAAAATGTACTGAAAATAAGATGTGAACTGAATCATATTAAGCAAAAATATTTGCCAATACAGTAAGCAAAATCCTCACATCAACAAAATTATTAAAATTACTAAAATATTCAAATATTCAAACTTTTACATTTCATACTCAAATTCAGTCTCAGATTACAGCAACGTCTTACTAGTGTTAGATATTTCAGTTGAAGTGAAGAGCTGGATATCATTAGTGCTTATTTCAAGAAAAAAATTGCTTAATATGAGCGTTTATGTTCAACATATATTTTCTAGTTTTTGTACTTTTTGGGAGGTCAAATCACTGACGTGAGACAATCTAATATAAGTAAAAGTATAAGGCTAAGTAAAAAATTATTTGATAGCTTAATAATAAGGTTTATTTGTTCTTAAAATAAAGAAAATCTTACACTCAGTGCTTTGAAAAACATGTAATATTATAAGAAACAAAAGGTTTGTTGTTTTGATAAATCGTTTTACTCACTAAGATTCTGTTTTTTTCTCGCTTGTTTTATTTTGACTTTGAGCTGCACCAAAGTCTGATCTGCCAATAAATTGATAGTTATTTGATGGATGTTTATTATACATACAAACATATATACTATGATTAGAATTATATAAATTATTTGTTGTTACAAGTACAGAGTAGATGTATCTCAATGCATTCTTATGAAAACTACCTCCATCATGTTTCTCCTGAAAAACAGTGAAACACTTTTTAAAGAGCTTGTTGTAAACAGTGCTAACAGGGTTAACACTGGATCACAGTTAACAGTTCATTTCATTAATTGCAAGCTAGACTATATGCCCCCTTTAACATGGCAGGATTAGGCTGATCATACACTCTCAAAAAGATGGTACTTCAAGGGTTCTTTAGCAAAGGGAACAGTTCTATTTAGAACCACAATTTCTGTAGAGAACCATTAAACGGTTCTTTGCATTGTGAAATGGCTCAGATTGATGGAGAATGTGTTATAAATGGTCCTATATAGCACCAAAAAGGGTTCTGCTATTGTTACAAGTTGACATCATAACAATAGGAGAACCTTTACTGGCGCTATATTCAACTCTTTATAGAACTCCTGGTTGTATATAGAACCACTCCCTTTACTAAAGAGCCCTTGAAGAACCCTCTTTGTAAGAGTGCAGGGACTGACTGTGCTGGTCTGTGTGAGCAGCGAACCCCACCATCCTGTGCGACACGGCGAACGGCTGGGAGCAGTACGGCTCTAACTGCTATAAGCTGAACTCTCACCTGACGAAGAGCTGGATCGCCGCCCGCACCGACTGTGTGAGGGACGGAGCGGATTTGGTGTCCATCGAGTCGGCGGAGGAGGAGCAGTACATCACCAGCCGCCTGGACCCGTCCCGCTTCGACCTGTGGATCGGCTACTCCACCCTGGTGAGGGTCCCGCTGCTTTCATACCCTGCAAAAATGTTCCTACAGCGCCGATAAAGAGCTCCTGACTTAGAAAAGTGGTTTTTACAAAAGCTCCACATTCCATTCATAAAATTAGAACGATTGTTTTTTACTGAGATTCATATTTAAAAACTATTACTATGTTTATAAACACACCAAAAAGGGTTCTATTGTTACAGGCTTGACATCGTAACAATAGCAGAGCCCTTTTTGGTGCTAAATAGAACCCTTTTCAAAAATCATCTACCATCTGCAATCTGAAGAACACTTTCACAATGTAAAGAACCCTTTAATCATGCAAAGGGTTCTTTGAGTGTTCATGGTGCTATATAGAGCCTTTTTTTTTTTTACTAAAGAACCCATGAAGAGCCTTATGTACTTATATGTATATAGCACAGCACATATGGGGCATTATTGCCTATGTATTAGCTACTTATACTTTAATACTATATATATATATATATATATATATATATATATATATATATACATATAACTGCTGTTGGAACCAAATGTCGTATCTCTTTATTTTCTTGATTTTTTTACATGATTTGAAATCACCAGCTGCCCTTTATATAAATACCCTCCACTCTTCCTCTCCACTCTGCAGGAGTATTTACACACAGAGCCCATAATCCCGCACACTGACCATCAATATGACCAGTTTTTCTTCTCACTCTGTTTGGAGAACCTGAGTGATGTGTGAAGTTTCTCTAACTGAAGCTCCTCCTTTAACAGAAATGCACAACGTTGTCCTGTGAAGTCCTGCCAAACAGCACCACCTTCACCTGGTCAGACGCCTCCACCTCCTCCTACACAAACTGGCCCAGTGGACAGCCTGACCTCACGTAATAGAAAACAACATAAAACAACAACAACAACAGTATAATGATCATCAACAATAACAACAGCAGCAAATATGAACACTACTACTAATAATGACATTAATAAATACAGTTTGAATAGTAGCTGGCCACTTTTTTAGAAACACCCAGCTTGTGCTTCCGCTAACTGGCCACTTTATTAGAAACACCCAGTTTGTGCTTCCGCTAACTGGCCACTTTATTAGAAACACCCACCTTGTGCTTCCACTAACTGGCCACTTTATAAGAAACACCCACCTTGTGCTTCTGCTAACTGGCCACTTTATTAGAAACACCCACCTTGTGCTTCCACTAACTGGCCACTTTATAAGAAACACCCACCTTGTGCTTCTGCTAACTGGCCACTTCATTAGAAACACCCACCTTGTGTTTCCGCTAATTGGCCACTTCATTAGAAATCATGCTGGACTGGTGCTGAACAGTTCTATATGATTAATTCCCATCTTTCTTGCTATATTAGATCAGGAACTGTGAGAGGATCAGTTCAGTCCTGAAGCCTTTAATGGTCTTGTGTTTGACAGAGATAAGCAGAGTGGTGTGTGCACTGCTGTGATCAAGGATGCAGGAGAGGATTATGGGAAATGGAGGACCCATGTGTGTCGCTACGAACGGCCCTACATATGCAAGAGGGCTCTGAACAGTAAGAATCAATGCAGTCCAGTTACACAGCTGAACACACAATCCATTATAAAATACACATTATTATGAAGCTCCAACTGGAATAAATCGCAGCGCAAGTTTATTTGTGTACCTTTCATACAGGCTAACACTGCTGCTCTGTTATGACTGTGTGAAAGTGAGTCTGTTATTAAACTCCATCACTGTTAAAATCCAACAGCAGCTCCCCAAACTTCAGCCTGAACCTGACAAATGCCTCTAAACTCCTTCACTGGACCAAGCCTGCTGGTCTGTGTGGGGCGTTTGGTGAGGTCAGTCTTATGAGGTCAGTTCAGGGAGCAGCAGTGTTAGCTAGCAGCTTTTCTGTCCTCAGTGTGAGAAATGAGGAACAGTCACTCTTCACTCCAAACTCTTGGGAAACTGGGCGAGTTTTCAGATTTACAGATCTGCTGCAGCTCACTGTAAAGTTTTTCAGAGGAATCCGGGCAGAGTTACAGTTTCTAGGCTATGAAGGACCAACTGGGTGAACCAGTCTGCTACAGCGCCACCCTGAGGCAGAGCAGTGCTGCAGCTCTAGTTAGTTAAGAACACCAGAGACAGAAGCTGATTGTGGGAGAAGCAGAGAAACAATCAGCTTCACTGAATCTGGATTTGAGTGTCTGTTTTTTCCTGAACAAACAGCAGAACGTCATAGCTTTATTTTTAGGGAGACATTCAGAAGGTTAATTCGGGGGTCCCAGACACCCACGACCCCCTGTATTTTGCACTTTATTGCCCACTACAGGATGATGCATGATATCAGAGCTCTATCAGCAGGACTGCACTGCTCTAAATGTCCACTGCACTGGTGACTAAGCTGTGAAGACTGATTTCAGTATGTCTGATGCTTCTTTAATGTGTCCCTCTGTAGCTATTTGTCCTCTGGGGTGGCTGAGCTTCGGTGGAAGCTGCTATTTGGTGGTCAGTAACAGCCACCTGCTGACCAGCTGGCACCAGGCCCTGACCAGATGCACCGATATGGGTGCCAACCTGGTGACCATCAAAAGGTGGGTGTAGCCGTCAGCAGATGAGTGAATGTTATGACTGTATTACAGACTTTAATTCACTGATCAGTAACTTCATAAACAAGAGTGTTGTTGAATCTCTGAAACGGTAACGTTACAGGAGAAGAACAAACATTCTAAACTTAATAAAACAGGATTTTATTACAGGTAATTTGGGATCATCTCTATTGGTTCATTCATGATGGCACAATCTGATTGGTTGAGAAGTGTTCTATCTGCTTTTTTTCACAACAGAATAACTAAAATCATTCCGCTGAGCCACAGCTGCGTTCATCTAACCAAAGTGCATTTCCACCGTGACGTTCAGGTCCATCTGAGACAGGGGTCTTTAATTAAAACTCAGTAAGGTCCAGTTAGAGAAAATTTCCTCAAGCAAAGATCCGGAACATCATAATGTCTAACCTGCATCATGATTCAGTGCCATATACTGTTTACTGAAGTAGCCTAGTAGGTATATCAACATCTTATACAGTCAACAACTGAATATCAAACCAAATAAAGTACAGTTCAGTAACATTTCAACAACATTTATTACCAGTTTCTCTTTTTAGATCACGCCATGTGAAATAACTTCCCTCTGACTCACTTTCTTCTCCGACCGCTGTGTCTCGCCTCGTCCCTCCCCTGTGTGGCGTCACTCACTCGAGTCTCAGTGCTCATCGTAATGCACAGATCTGATTGGCTGAGTAGTGTCATGTGTGATATGTACAACGCATGCGATTGGTCGCTAAAGCAGCACTATAAAGGCTAGAAAAGTTACGCAGATTAAAATAGGACCACCCCATCAAAATTATTCTCCATAGTTTATCAGTTATAGGTCCAGGTCTGCATAGGACAGCATCTGGGTCCGGACTCAGACTGCAGTCCGCCTATTAGTGACCTCTGATCTGAGAGATACTGAAAAAGCTGAGCTGAACCTGATATTGTGACTCTATCAGTGACAGTGCAGTAAAGTTGGTTTTGTATTGGACATTTGCTGGACATTCAACTTTCTCTCGTGAATTTCTCATCGAATGAATGTCCAAAATGATCAAACCTACATTTTCTCCCTGCTGAAAGACTTAAAACAAACTACAACCAAATATATTTCACAAATATCCTTTGTTCAAGTATCAGTATTTGAGTTCTGCTCAAAATGAGCTAAAATTGTCACCGAAACAGTCACCACTGAAACAGTCACCACTGAAACAGTCACCACTGAAACAGTCACCACTGAAACACTTGGTAAAGTTTGGGTAGAGTTATGACTGTTTTGGGAGAGAGAAAATGGAATGTTGAGTCATTGGTTGTAATAAAATAAACGTAATTAAAGTATAGAGTCGCTCAAAGTGACAGGATTTTAGTCTAAAGTCTAAGATCAGATTATTTGCTCTACATTGTTCTTTATTTCGCTGAGTCGTTGTATTAAAGCATTAAAGCTCTGAAGGTCGTGTGTTGTGGTGAATAACATCACGTCTCTGATGATCTACACACCTTCAGCTCGTACCTGCGGCCCAATCACAGCCCTGATGTTATTCATGATGCTATTGCCTGAATGCTCAATATGCTTCTTGTCTTGTTTTGGGTTTGTTGTTCTAGTGAGGATGAGCAATACTTCATCAACGCTCAGCTCCCTGACCTCCACCAGGTGGACATACCTGATGTGTGGATTGGAGTTTCAGGTATCAGAGCTTTGTCTATTTTCTTAGCAGAACCGTGATTTTTATTTTTCAGTTTGGACCATAAATTTCAGAACATAGTCAAAAAAATGAGATAAAACGTTAATGCTCCATAATAACACTAACACCCCTATGGGGCTGCTAATAGTGTGTTAGCACTAAGATGATGATGATGCACATAAACACTACTCATTCTAGAAACTTGAACATGTGAAGCTTGTAAAAGTCATTCCATGTGTTTTATCTGAATCTTGTAACAGTCATTATCTTATACCTGAGCTTGTATGTATCAGTGTTACAGTGACTCTTCCAGTAAAGAGTCCTGCACAGAGCTGCCACCACTGTTTTACATTCCTAATAACTAACTGAACCTGCTTAGACTATGACTCATATTCACAGTGACTTATCTAGAACTTCTAGAAGGACTACAGTGACTTTCTTCTTATGAAATGAGTGTCATAAAGTGTGGTTGGTTAATTTCTCTGTCACTTCCTAATTATGTTGGTAGTTAATCTAATGTGTGAGGCCTTCAGTCCAGCTCCTGAAGTCCTAACCAACGAGAGAGCAGCTTAGCTGTATCTACCTGGATACCACAGAGAAAACAATCCTGATTGGATAATTTTACATTTTACTTCCATACTTGCAGAGTTTAAATACAACAAACATGGTGATTCTATTAAATAAAAATTTTCTGACAGAATTTTTTAGGTCCTATTATATATATATTTATATATATTATATTATATATATATATATATATATATTTAGGCCGCCTCTGAAGCTCCTGTGTGATGGAGGAAGAGCAAAGGGAGGCATATTTAGCAGTTTAACCCTAAAAAAATAAGTAAAAAAGCTTGTTTTTATTGTTGGATTTGTGTCTCACACATGGAATGATTTTTCTATCGATTTGCTATTAGCAGTAGACTCACGCTGCTCTTTCTGAACTAACCATAAACCACTAAAAACAAGTCAGGTCCTCCTTCACTATAAGAGTCCTTCTAGAAAATAAACCCAGAAGATAACATTGGGGTACATTTCCAAAAATAACATGGACCCCATTTTCTGAGCTCACTTTGCTGTGTTTACACCAGAGTTCAGTGCTGATGCCTTTTTAAGCCTAGACTTCAATTAAAAATCACACTATATTGAAAGAGCAGTCTGTTTCTAGAAAACCACAAATTCAGCAACAACGTCAAATTAAAAATTAGAATACGACTCTCAGACACAGATTTTTGTTACCTCAACTTAAAGTGAAGTTGCTGATGGAACAAAACTGAAACTGAACTTTTGTTTGGATCAAAGTGTATGTGGCCTGTGATGAGTGGTCAGGGTGGTGATGTGTGTGTCGATGTGCCTCAGCTTGTCATTGTGTGTGTTGTGGTCAGATAAGGACCAGGATGGCACCTTTAAATGGGTGGATAAGACCGACATTCAGTTCTCCAACTGGAACTCTGGCTTCCCAAAAAACACAGACACATACTGGGACTGTGGACAGATCTACACCGGTACGAGAACCAGCTTCACTGTGGACCAAAACACACGCCTGGACCTGCAATAAAAGTCCTCAATCTCTCACACTTTAGAATTATTAGTAATTACTGAATCATTTATAGTAGACACTGAATATTTTATCAATAGTTTCTGAATAATTCATAGTGCATACTGAGCTATTCATAATAAATATGAAATATTTCATAGTAAATGCTAAATTAAGTGAAGTAGGTACTGAATAATTTATTGTAGTTACTGAATATTTAATATTAAATGGTGGAAAATGCTACATAATGAATTGTAATATTTACTGAATAATGTAAAAACTCTTGTTTGATGTTTTTGCACTGATGGTGTTTTGCACAGGAAACTACGCTGGAAAGTGGGAGACGACCAACTGCTTCAAGAACCTGGCCTACATCTGTAAGATGGTCGGGGGTCAGAATGTTAAGCCCACCGCTGCACCAGGTGAGCAGACCCCCCAGTGGAGAGACTTTAATTAAAGCCTTATTCTTAAAGCAGGAAATCAAGTTAAATTACAACTGTGATTTCTAATCAAACATGATTAAACGTTTCTGTTACAATTCGGAGCTCACTGTGCATTTCTGATAAGATTATTAACTAACATTAAAAAAGAACGCATGATGTTTTATTGAGGCTATTCATGTTTTAATACTATGACTGAGTAATTAAAGTGAATTTGTCTCTGTTCAGACTCTCACTGTGATGAAGGCTACCTGCTGTACGGCGATTACTGCTACCACTTTGAGTCTGAAACGGTCAAAAAGTGGCAGGACGCTGAAAGCTACTGTGTGACTCAGGGTGGACACCTGGTCAGCATCCACAACGAAGAGACGGTCAGCTTCCTAACAGGTTAGGTGATGATTATGTGTGATTATAGACTGACTGTATCACAGTGACAAAGTTCTGCACACAGATTAAAGAGGGGAGTCCACCCATTTTTCTAAATTCCCCCATAATTCAGTGTGTGAGGTGTAAACAGAGAGATTCAGAGTGGTTTGGTGTGAAATGGTTCAGATGTCTTTACAGTGGTGGTGATAGGAACCAGGGGTCGCCATGACTACAACACAAATATAGACATTTTATTTACTATCCAGAACCACCAGTGAACCTACACGAGTCTTCTGAGTCTATATGGAATGTTGATGATGGAAAATAGTGGAAAATCTGAAATAATAAGTTTTCTTTGGGGACTATTTTGCCTCACAGCGCCCTGCATGTATCCCTCCACCATGAATGGAGTTTAAGTTCTCTAAACTATCATAAAACAGTGTCTCAGTCATCAGGCAGTGAATTCATAACCATTTCATGTAGGAACTTTCTGTGAGGGAGCTTTTAGAGGTGGACGTCTGGTTCCTATCACCACCACTGTGAACAGTTCTGACTTGGTAAGTTTCTCTAGAATGGAACGTTTCACACCAAACCTCTCTGAACCTCTCTGTTTATACCTCAACCATTTAATCATGGAAAATTGGTGGAGTTCCCCTCTAAGCCAAATGTAAACAGCTGTGATCTGTAACACTGTTTCTGAAGCGTGTGTGTTTCCTCAGCTCACATGTCCAGGTCCTCCTGGGTGGGTCTGAATGACATTGAAACAGAGGGAACCTTTAAGTGGACAGACGGAACGTCTGCTGTACGTACCGCTCTCTAAGTGTCTCTATAAACTATGAAATTTTCCAAATCATGTTTGACTTTCACTGATATTTTTCAACTCAAAAGTTGATCATGAATTAGCTCAGTGCTAATGCTAAAGCTCTGGGTGTGTTTATCTTCAGCTTCATGTTGATCAGAATGTCTTCTTTAGGATTATTACAGTTCACTAAAACTCTAGCAGTGAGACAATGAGCCCGAAAACTGTAATACAGATGAACACAATCAGTGTTAGTTATTATCTGTGTTCAGTTGAGTGTAATGAAGGTTCCAGATGGAACTAAACGTTCTTCTGTGATCTGCACTGTACTTTACATTAACCATGTACGTCTGCAGTCAGACTCTCACACACAATGTATTTCACATAAACAAGATATCAGATCATAACTGCATTTTCACAGAGTATCAATACCCACAACACTCGCTTCTGTCCTGTTAAAGGATCATTTGATCAGATTTAAAATGAAGATACTGGAACACAAATTAATTTCTAAAAGTATCAGACAGTGAAGAGCATCAGACAGGATTCTGGATGTTTTCATACATTTTCAGATGGATTTGATAAAAATATTTACATACATTTATTTTTGTCTATGTGTAATATTTCCACATACATTTTAAAATAAATGTATGTTAAAATATATCTGGTTAATATGGCAAAATATTCTGAAATACATTTTAGTGTTTGGAATGTATTTCAGCTTTGACTGCAGTGAATTTGAAATGTATATCAAATATATAAAAATACATGTACATATTTATTTTTCCATATTGGCTGCTTTAGTGCTGCATTAAAATGTGTGTATAAGTTCCAAAGTGATGTCATAAATCATTTATTCTCTGACAGTTTGATCATGTTTGGTGATAATTGTGGTGTATTTTATTCGTGTGGAGATTTTCTGCGTATTTAACTCAAAAACATTTAATGCATTACTTTCGTCGTTTTTCTGGTTTTCAGTTTACTTACAGATTTATGAATATAAATATAAGAATATTATTTATTTTTATGTATATACACCTGCATATAAAAATATTCGTATAATTCGTATAATTCCATGCATTTCTAATATATATTTCTTTATTTTTGTTTGTGCCGTGTATTTAATCGGCTGTCTGTTGTGTCCAGGACTTTTTGCCGTGGGAGACCGGTCAGCCGGACAACTGGCAGGGGGACGAGGACTGTGTGCACATCCGGGGGACGGAGCACCATGACACGGGAAAACTGAACGATCTTCCCTGCAGCTCCACGTACCCCTTCATCTGCCAGAAAGGTGGGACACCAGCCCTCTCTGACCCACAGCTGACCTGCGGTCAGACTGAAGAGCTTCTGCTGCCGTTAACTGGGCAAAAGATCTGATGGGCGACTGTTTCTGAGATGAAGCCTCTGCAAGTGATTTACATACATGTAAAGATATTCATACTGAACTGATGTTGTTCTGTTCTCTGTAGCTAAAGGACAGGGTCCTCCACCAGTTCCTCCAACATCTGGACCAGGTAAGAACCCCCCTCCCCCACACACCCCCCCAACTCATCAAATACACATTGAACTGAGTTTTGCAACAACCACAACAATCAATAGATTTTAGTTTGGTTTTATTTGGATATTCTACACAATTAATTGCAATTATACCCTCCCCACCTCCCCCTCTCTCCCAACCTCCCCCTCTCTCCCCCTCCCCCTCTCTCTCAGGCTGGAATGAGAAGTGTGGTTCGTGGGTTGCGGACCCCTTTAACGACTTCTGTTACCTCTTTAACTATCTGTCGCTGCGTAAGTGGGCGGAGGCCCGAGCGGACTGTGTGAATCAGGGTGGAGATCTGCTGAGCATCACAGAGCCGTTCGAGCAGGGCTTCATCCAGGGTAACACACACCTCCCCTCACTTACACACACTCACAGCTCCAGAGTAAAGGTTCTGTAGGTTCTGTAGGTTCTGTAGTTGAGCTGTGCATTTGGGGAATGATTATGATTGCATCATTTTGGGTGATTTGTTCTCTGGCAGTTCTTCACTGGGTTATTCTACTAAGGACTCTTACTGTAGAGGGCGGGGCTGGGAACCCCCTGGTGGGACGAGTGAGTGAGCGGAGAGAGAGAGAGAGAGAGAGAGATTTCATATTGTGTTCTGTGTAGTTACTGAATATTGACTCACACAGGAGTTATTTTGGTGATGCAGAGTTTAATGTGGTCTGTAAACATTGTTAAAATTTCAAAACATTCACTTTCCAGAACGAGCAGTCATGAAAACTAAACTCCACTAACAGCCTGTTTTTAATTAACTGTTTTTGTGATGTCACAAAACCCAACGCATTTACATATCTCCACCTATTTAGCCTGGAGCAGATTAGCCCCGCCCACTCGCACTTAAGTTATAAGGAGTGTTTTAGCTCTGACGGCACAGCCAATCACAACAGAGCTCATTTACATATCTCAGTCTTAAAGGCACAGTAACAGAAACAGTTGAACTGTAAGGGATAAAGAGAAGGTGGAAAATGATTATGGAGAAATGAATTATGACTGTTTTTGGTACATAAATAAATGCACTAAAAAGTAGAGTATGGGCTCTTTAAGTCCAGTTTAATCTTTGAAATTAATGAAGATCAGAGATCAGGTTAAGGAAATATTAGACATAGTTAATAGTTAATTTATATCTAGCTTTTAGAAAGTAAATAATGTGCTATTGTGTATAAAAGTAATTAGTCTCAGGTCAGAAAAATGCTTTGATCTTGAGTAAAATGATGAGCAGCTGTTTAGTCTGTTGAGCTCCGTCTGATCTCAAGTGTTTATTTGATTGGTTTGCAGCTCAAATCCAGTCGATCCCCACCGGCGTGTCTCTGTGGATGGGAGGCCATGACTCGGTCACTGAGGGCGGCTGGGAGTGGACAGATAGATCACCCTTCCGCTTCATCAACTGGGCTTCAGGTGAGAGAGAGAGAGAGAGAGAGAGAGAGAGAGAGAGAGAGAGAGACAGAGAGAGAGTAGAAGATGCAAAGTCAGAAAATGTAAAGTGGGCTGAGAGAAATTAAATTAAATATTAAATAAATATTATTTTTTGTTGAAACATCAACTATATACTTCCACTAACCGGCCACTTTATCAGAAACACCCAACTTGTACTTGCACTAACCGGCCACTTTATTAGAAACACCCACCTTGTACTTCCACTAACCAGCCACTTTATTAGAAACACCCACCTTGTACTTCCACTAACCAGCCACTTTATTAGAAACACCCACCTTGTGCTTCCACTAACTGGCCACTTTATTAGAAACACCCACCTTGTACTTCCACTAACCGGCCACTTTATTAGAAACACCCACCTTGTACTTCCACTAACCGGCCACTTTATTAGAAACACCCACCTTGTGCTTTCACTAACCGGCCACTTTATTAGAAACACCCACCTTGTACTTCCACTAACCGGCCACTTTATTAGAAACACCCACCTTGTTCTCCCCTAACTGGCTCTTTGATCCTCACTCTTTTCTGCTGCTGTGTTTCAGGTAATCCTGATGATTATTACGGTGAAGACTGTCTCACCATTTACATCAACAACGGCTACTGGAACGACGACAACTGTGACTATGATCGGGGCTACATCTGCAAACGCCGAGGTACGGCTGTCCATCTGATTCAGTCTCACATTCACATTAACGGTACGCGTCCACTTGCATTTTTTCTTGCTGCAATCCGCCTCGCTGGATCTCTCTGCTGGACACTGGTGGACGTTTCTATGTTGTTATGGAAATGAGGGAACTGTACTGAACATATATGGAAAAAAACGCTCCAAAAAACGCTCTGATACACCGTTTGCTGTTGCACAGAAAGATGAAAATACAAATGTATGCTTTTTGCTTTACATTATGCAACTCAAGTGCAATTTAGTTTCATGTAGGTTTTAAGCAAGTTGCCTGTAAGTTTCAGCGTGTAAAGCTGGACTCAGTGGTTTGATCTGTATCTAAGAAAACAGACTGTAGATGTTTCACTGATACATGATCAATAACACAGTGAGGAATGTGTTTTATTACAGGAAACACTCCAGAACCTCCACCACCTCATGATGGTATGTATCACAAATAAAATGTCTGAAAGGGTCATTTATAATATCCTCAATATTTTTTATTGCAAGCTTACGCTTTACAGAGGATAAGACACATGAATATGAACATGAATTACACAGTCTGTTAACCCAGACTTTAAAGTGTTTAGTTTCAACTTAACAAACTTCTGAGAAAGACAGATTTTGTCATTTTTTGTGCCAATGCTGTTAAAACTGAAGGTGCAGCTGATTAAAGCCCAACACTGGCCTTCTTATTACATCTGAGACATTTTAGATGGTTAAAGGGAAAGTCCACCATTTTTTCTAATTCTCTCTATGATTAAACAGTTCAGATGTAAACAGAGTGGCTAAGAGCGGTTTGGTGTGAAACGCTCTGTTCTAGAGAAACTTACTGAGTCAGAGCTGTTCACAGTGGTGGTGATAGGAACCAGACGTCCACCTCTAAAAGCTCCCTCACAGAAAGTTTCTACATAAAATGGTTATGAATTCTCTGCCTGATGACTGAGACACTGTTTTATGATAGTTTAGAGAACTTAAACTCCATTCATGGTGGAGGGATACATGCAGGGCACTGTGAGGGAAAATAGTCCCCAAAGAAAACTTATTATTTCAGATTTTCCACTATTTTCCATCATCAACATTCATATAAACTCAGAAGACTCGTGTAGGTTCACTGGTGGTTCTGGATAGTAAATAATAAACTGGTGGAATTCCACTTCAAGCCGCTTTCGAGCCAACAGAGTTTTTATTTATGCTTTTAACAACAATGAGGAAAAGCAAACTGTCCCAAAACATACACCCCCCCCTCTCTCTCTCTCTGCAGGCTTTCTAACAGCGTATACGTGTGAGGGCTCCAATATGGTCCTGCACTGCCCCACCAACAGCGTCATCAACATCCAGTCTGCTTTCTTCGGCCGCAACAGTGATAAAATCTGCCCATATGAGCACGGATCTCTGGGTGAGGAGCACTGCGTCTCAACCAGTATGGTTCTGCTGAACGAGAAGATGGACATGATTGACAAAGTCTGATGACCTCATATAGTTGACCTCACTCACAAAGCAGAAATGTTTATTAGAGATGCACAGGAGTCATCATACTGACATATATTTACTTTTTAAAAAAAACATTAGACGGATGTTTAATTGACATTCAGACTGATCTGTGATGATGTGTGTATTGAACTCTGGAAGAGCAAAATGTTCAGCACTAAAATATCTGTATTTTATTCAGCTGTCACCCTTTATGCCGGTAACGTGTCTCATTAGGCCTTTATGTAGATCGTCTAGTCATTAGGTTTTTTTCAAGAGCAGTGCGATTACAGCAGTGCAGAGCAGTCACTGCTGATTCAGCCTGAGCTTCTGAACGCAGGAGGACGACGCAGTCAGTGTGCGTTTAGGAATATATTTATGTAGAATTATCATCTACTATGTATTATTCAGTGTCTGCTATGAATTATTCAATATTTACTATAAGTTATTCAGTAACCAGTATGAACTATTACACTTATTTAGAACGTACTATGAATTATTCTATCGTGACTGTGATGTCATATCTGTGCATGTTGGCTGTGTGTCTCGTCTGCAGATTCCTGCACTGTCCCAGGTATCCTAGAGAAGGTCAGGAAGGCGTGTGACAACCGTGGCTTCTGTTTCGTCTTCGCCTACACGGAGACGGACCCCTGCCCCACCGTCTCTAAGTACATGGAGGTGGTCTACAGCTGTGAGCAGGACGGTACGTTGAGGTTTAGACAGGCAGCCTGAACTTCTGAGATGTTAACGTCTCCTGTGTGTTTGTGTGTCTCTGCAGTGTGTGTTTGTGTGTCTCTGCAGTGTGTGTGATGTTAACGTCTCCTGTGTGTGTTTGTGTGTCTCTGCAGTGTGTGTGATGTTAACGTCTCCTGTGTGTGTTTGTGTGTCTCTGCAGTGTGTGTAAGGGGTCTCGGGGTGGAGGACAGGAACATCACAGACTCCATGATCTCTGCCTCCTCCTCCATCAGCGGACAAGAGCCCACCAGAGCTCGTCTCAATGGAGATTCCTGCTGGATGCCCGCCAGCCCAGGTCAGTCTCTCACCTTTAAGCCATCGTTTGGCTATGAGAAACTCAGACTGTGTGGAGGTGTTCAGCATCTCTGATACTCTTGATTATGTGGTTTCTGAATCACTGTTTCAGAGGGCTAAAGAACATTAGCATAGCTAAAACTGTAGCGGCGGCTTTATTAAAGCCTGAATTTTGTCTGTATGTTTGTCCATTTTCATATATTGTCCACCTTGTAGTTATTCTTTAAGTGTTTTCTTCTCTGTTTGATCTCAGTTTTACTGAACATTTCTTATTAGATGACTTACAATCAAATTATTGGTAACGGTTATTAGTGAAGCTCAGCTGAGTCTCAGCACTGTCAGGGTGGGATTAGGATTATATTCTGATCTGAGGTCAAAGTCAGGGTTAGAATGAGTGACCTTGGTTATTGGTTTGTTAACCCAAACAGAATTTAGTAAATGAACGTTCTGATTGGTTTGAAGTGAAAACATTTCGTATAGTTATACCTCACATTAACATATAGGACCCTCACAGGACCACCACAGAGCAGGCACTATCCACCACCCAAATAGTACCTGCTCTGTGGGGGTCCATGGGGGTCCTGACCACTGAAGAACAGGGTAAAAGGGGACTAACAAAGTATCAGAGAAACAGATGGACTACAGTCTGTAACTGTAGAACTACAAAGTGCACCTATATAGTAAGTGGAGCTGATAAAATGGACAATGAGCATAGAAACAAGGAGGCGGTTTTAATGAAGAGTTCAGTGGGTGTATTTTGGAAAAATTAAACTGTAAAAATGTTCAAACCTCAATTTGAAACATACCTTCAGATTTGTGCTCAAACATATGGACAGATGTAAATTTTAAATGTTGACATTAACAGTTTAATACTTATTTAGTTGAATATAATTTAATGGCAGGTTAAGCTTCTGTTAAACTCCCCCAGTGGAGTTACTCAGTGTCGTCATTCCGTCGTCTGTTCTTGTGTATCAGCCAGTAACTCGTGGATCCAAGTGAGCCTTCCTGAGTCCAAGAAGATCACAGGAGTGGTGATCCAGGGCTGCCCCACTGCTGACCACTGGGTGACCAAGTTTAAAGTCCAGACCAGTTTGGACGGCGTCTCGTGGACAGATTACACCGCTGAAGGAAAGGTATATATGACTACAGGCAACTCAGGCTCTTTGTGACTTTAAACACCTTTAACTCCTTATTATTCAGTTATTAATCTTAGAATATATTATTCAGTAACTACTGTAATTTATTCTGCTATGAATTATTCAGAAACTGCATCTAAAGTATAGTGTAAATCTAAAGGTGTGCAGTGAGAGTGAGGAACTGAAGTGTGGACACATACAGACTCAGAGTTTGGTGATTAATAAAATCACTAGACTAACAATTAAACATTCACATTAGATTTGGATGATATTGACAATTTAATTTTCAAAAATATTACTGTATCACAGCATCAGATGATGTTTAAATTTGCATTAATAAAGCTGGAGCTCATTCTTCCTGAGTGCTGCTCTGTATTAAAATAATATCTTAAAAACTAACACAGCTTGATCTGATTTACAGAAACTAAACTTACTATTCTTTTCATTTTTGTGGATTATAAACAAGCAAAACAATATGAAGATCCCAGTAAATAACTTTACAGTTAACTATCTAAATAGAATTTAAAGTAAACTGTAACTATAGCAATTTTATGGGCATTATATCAATGATAAAATGCTCATTATCTATCAAATATATCACTAAAAATATTGCTAAAACTGAAAAGCAATGCATGATATCACCTAGCACTAAAAGAATCACTATAATGGTGACTGTAGAACGTTTTGTGTTTTTTTAGATAGCAAAAACCAGTGTGTGTGTGTTTGTGTGTGTGTGTGTGTGTGTGATGTAGGTGGAGGAGTTCCTGGGCTCAGTGGACAGAGGGACTCCTGAGACTCAGCTGCTGGGGACGCCCGTGTCCGTCAAACACATCCGGATCCTTCCACTGGAGTGGTTCAATGAGGCCGGCCTGCGCTTCGAAATCCTGGGCTGCGAGCCGGACTGTACGCTCTCGCGCCTCCCTTATAAAAAAAAAAAAGAAATATTGTTATATAAATCAATGTTTTTAGCAAAATAAAACCAATTTGGTTTCAGATAAATACATAACATTGATTTACTATGTGAGTCTTTCAAAATGGACAGTAGTGTATGTACAGAATATATTGTAATATATTTTCATAGCATGACTGTTTTGGTTCCACAGCCGCTGAACACTGACGTTCTCTTTGTTTGTGTTCCTCAGATGCCATTACGTGCAGTCAAACCCCCAGTCTGGACCACTCTGTAGATAAAATGACGTATGTGTTCTCTACGTTTTCCCCAAAACTTTTCCACTGAACTCATATTTCATACTCCATTTACTGCACCATTCTTCAGTGTGCTCTTTTGTCATTTTGTAAAACTCATCATCATCATAAATATAACAAATTATATGCTCACTGGCCACTTTATAAGAAACACCCACTTTGTGCTTCCACTATCTGGCCACTTTATCAGAAACACCCACCTTGTACTTCCACTAACTGGCCACTTTATCAGAAACACCCACCTTGTACTTCCACTAACTGGCCACTTTATCAGAAACACCTACCTTGTACTTCCACTAACTGACCACTTTATTGGAAACACCCAACTTGTTCTTTCACCTGCAGGGTGGAGCTGTGAGGTAGGTGTTTCTGATAAAGTGGCCGGAGAGTGTAGAGTTGATGTTTATTGTTCGTGCCTGTTTATTTCAGAGTCCACTGTCCTGCTGGTTGTGTGTCTGAGTCCTACAGCGTGTACGGAACCCTGACCTACCGCGGCGTGAGTACAGATCACATCATACAGCGCGTTACACATATATAACCTTTCATATTCAATTATATATTTCATATTTCATTTAATCAGTATCAGAACCCTCAGGCTTTCTAGACGAGCTGCTGAACGCTTCGTTTTGTTGGCTCCCTACCAAAATGACTGCATAAATTAGGGCGGGCTTCATGTAAATGATATGTAAATGAGGTGCTGGTAGGTGGAGCTTGACTTCATGCACTAAAGCTGATTGCGCTCAAATCTCTGCTCGTTTCTGCGTCACACAACAGTTTAATGAATCAGACGCTGAGCAGTTTGTATGTCATTAAAATCAAATCTGCTCTTTGATGAACGAGGGCCTCATTCTCCAAGCGCTCTTAAGGAGAGGTTTCCTCACGTCATGAATCTGACGGAGACTTTTTCTTAGGACGTTTCTCAAGAACACATTTAAGAACACACCCATGAACATGTTGCTGAACGAGGCCCAAAATGTTCGCGTGTTCTATAAGCCACTATTCTCTGCATCCTGTAACTTTGTTTACTTTGGGGGTCTTAGCCTAAACTAACCCCATCTGCACCGCCCCCCTCCCCCCCAGCGGAAGCTGTACGTTAGCACGTTAGCATGTCTAACTCACTGTGAGCTGTTTCTCTGCTCTACATGCTGCTGTATTAATATATAATATTCCTGTATTAAAGTAAACAGACTGTGTCCTGT